TCTGCAACCATGCATTAATGTAGCGGTCTCCCAAATTCTTGCCACTTGTCACTATGGCTTTTAAGAGACTTGCCTGGTGTGAAATTGCACCTTTGAAATATCAGCATCACAGCTGCTGAGGAGGAAGTGGGTGATGGGAGTGAGTTTTTTTTTTTTTGTGTGTGCGTGTGCCGTGCAGAACTTAAATCTTCCAACCCAAGTTTCTTGTAGCATAACACGAGTGGGGATTTGGGAGCTAGAAGTCTCCCAGTCTCTGCATCAGGGCGGTCACACAGCCTGCACACGCTACATGAGACAGCAGGGCTCAGAAAGCAAACTGAGTCACTGCCTGGAAAGCTCCGGAAGAAGATCTGAATGCACATGAGCTCATTGGAAGCAAACAGATGGGACGGAACGCACAGAGTGATTCACTTATTATTATTAACAAGCTTGTATATGAGAGGATATTGATCTGAGGATTACAGGAAGGAATGAGAGTGGCATTCAGTCGAGCATTATATCCCACAGTCCTCTCATGAAACCACATTTAAATTCACTAGATCCAGATTTTTATTCAGATCTACACCCAAACTGCACATTCGTAGAAATCAGTCTCCTAAACAGGCCTGATTTGAAATCTTGGACGTGCCCCTTTATCCGGATCTGCACCAAAGTTTTACGAATTATTTCTTTTCCAATGTCGCATCCGTCCTTCAAGTTTCATGGAAATCTGTTGAATAGTTTTTGTAAAATCTTGTTCACAATCAAACAAACAAGTTTTCTTAATCGCTGATTGATTAAATTTACTGTTCACTGACTTTTAAGTTGAACTCTTTGTGTTAATCAGATTTAATTATGTTAAAGAATATCAGGATAGAAATGACATCATCAACACAACTCTGTATCTACATATAACCACAATCAATCCAGTTGAATGGACAGTAGCTTTATCCTTGGCTGGATGTTTTCTGACTCCCTCCTCCTCCTGACTCGTCCTCCAGGGTCCCTCAGTGACAAACCCGTCTACGACTGGAGCTCGGAGGAGGAGGAGCCGGACGGACGAGCCCGGCCAATCCAGGTGCTGCTGGTCAAAGACGACCACACCTTCGAGCTGGACGAGGCGGCGCTGAGTCGCATCCTGCTGGCGGAGGAGGTCAGGGACCGAGATGTGGTGGCCATCTCTGTGGCTGGGGCTTTCCGCAAGGGCAAGTCCTTCCTCATGGACTTCATGCTGCGTTACATGTACAACCACGTGAGTGTCCCCCGGTCTGTGCAAGAGCTGACAGAGTTCAGCTTCTGAATCTGGAGCGTGACCTTTTGTTTTCTGCTCCTTCAGAAAGTAAATAAAGACAGTAAATATGTACACGTGAAGGTACATGTACACATACAAGTATACACATTCTGTTCATCATAGACTGCGTCTCTACTTCCTCCCACTGTTCACAAATGAAGCCAAAATGTCTTGGATATGAAAGCTGCTGTCTTGCCCTGAGGATTTCTTTGGAGCCTCAGTTTAATTAAATCAAACCCAACTCTTAGTCCATCTTTGTATAAACTCTTATTGTTTACACCAGTTCATGCACAATGTGTGTACATATAATCAAAAACAATATAAGATCACCTGACCTGGCGTGATTGTGCTCAGGCCTCGGACGTTTGGCTCGGCGATGCAGACGAGCCTCTGACCGGCTTCTCCTGGCGAGGAGGCTCAGAGAGGGAGACCACCGGCATCCAGATCTGGAGCGAGGTCTTTCTGGTGGACAAGCCAGATGGAGGACAGGTGAAGTTTCTTCTCGCTGGATAGAGTCGACCGATTTAATGCATTGTGATATAAATGTAAACATGACAGAGGAAGATGCTGTGGTAACCTTCTGCTTTGAACCGTTTGAATGCGACTCCTCTGCAGAGTTAACCACAGTTTGTTAGTTAACATTGACGGAAGTAACTTTTGTTTTTTACACACATCTCACTAACTTCGGTTGCACTGTTGTTTGCCAAATATCTATTTCTCCTGCACAGAGAGCAGCAAGAGCCTGGACACTGATGGTTCCTGTCTTTGTTACGTTTGACCTACATCCACCGATACTTGACACTGATTGGTTTTTAAACTAATATTAGAAAAAGGCAGTTTGTCCATTTGAATGATAGCTTGAATCACTGCCTCTGTACAGGAGACTGCAGGGGGGTTTGGTATGTAGGGCCCCCGTTTGCCTTCGGCCCCCAAAGTCCCTTGAAACGCTCCTGCCTGGAGTTCAATCACTCCTCTAACAATCCACACTCAGCATCACATTACAGCTCACTCTACTCAGGAGAAACGTGCCGACCTCCTCGCAGCGCAGGTCAACGTCTTCATCTGTCTCGTTACGCAGGTGGCTGTGCTGCTGATGGACACACAGGGGACGTTTGACAGCCAGTCGACGCTGCGGGATTCAGCCACCGTGTTCGCTCTGAGCACCATGATCAGCTCCATGCAGGTACGACGACACAAGTAGCAGCTTGATTCTACGGTTAAAACCTCCATCAGTCAGCCTGCAGGTCAAAAGCATGTCTGCTGTGACAGCAAACAATTTAACAGGCACTAAAGAGATTTTATTAAATAGAAGTATTATATTGTAAAACTTCCATTTTAAACTGATTTTAAGAAATAAAACTGTAACTGTTCCTTCTCAGGTTTACAACATCTCACAGAATGTACAAGAGGACGACCTCCAGCACTTGCAGGTAACACTGTCGACACTAATGCACTAATGAGAGCTCAAAGAACAAGGTCAGGATATCAAATACATCACCAGCCAGACATGTATATTAGTATTTATACTTGTACTGTGGCTCATAGCACAGTAAATAACTGTGGTCCGTCAGAAGCTCTTAAAGCAGCACCATGTGGCTTTTACTCAGCAACAGCGTCCTCTGCAGCCACATGTGATGATTTATTCTGCACTCACTGAACCATCAAACTGAATTAAAGCTGCTAATTTAAGGTACAAACGTTGTTTAATGATTGTAAATGATTGTTTCTTCCATCAAAACATTTCACATCCTCACTGATTTCTGTCGTATCTGCTTTGTTTCAGCTGTTCACCGAGTACGGCAGATTAGCAATGGAGGAGACTTTCCTCAAACCATTCCAGGTAACAGCTTCATTGTGCTGCCGACTGAATGCTAATGTTTGTAAATGACATTCAAACATCGTTACTGATATTTAGCTTTAGCAGTTTGAAATCTTAACTAGAGATTTTTTTCTTAAGACAGTTTAATGATAAAGTTTCGATAATCGCTGAAAACAAAACAAACTGGTGACAAACTCGCTGCTGTTGATTAATCATAGATATGATTTGACCAGAATGTACAATACGTGAAATTATCATTTATAGTGACCTGATGCATTTTTCTGTCTCAGTCCATGATTTTCCTCGTTCGAGACTGGAGTTTCCCGTACGAGTTTCCCTACGGACAAGAAGGAGGCATGCAGTTCCTCGAGAAGAGGCTGAAGGTCAGTCAGCACTGATGTCACAGAGGTTGAAGGTCAATTCTCGTATCCTCCTGTGGCGTCAGTTTCCACGTTACGTGTGTCACTGCAGTTTGAAAGAATCGCTGAGTCGACTAAGCGTGTGCTTGTGTTGTTTGCCGCAGATCTCAGAGAACCAGCACGAAGAGCTGCAGAACGTGCGTAAACACATTCACTCCTGCTTCACCAACATCTCCTGTTTCCTGATGCCTCACCCGGGACTCAAAGTCGCCACGAACCCTCACTTTGATGGAAGACTTAAAGGTTTGATCCGGCTGCAGTCGCTTTGTTTTACAACGTGTGATCATTTGATTAACTTGAAGAACTTTTTTCGGTTTTGACAAAAAGCATAGTTGACTTTTAAACTGCGGCGTCTATCCACCCATCCATCCATCCACCCATCCATCCATCCACCCATCCATCCATCCACCCATCCACCTCTTCGTCTAGAAATCGATGGCGAGTTCATCAACAACCTGAAGGTTCTGGTCCCCTGGCTCCTCAGTCCTCGTAACATCGACGTGAAGGAGATCAACGGCAGCAAAATCACGTGCAGGGGCCTGGTGGAGTATTTTAAGGTCAGAGTCAAAGGATCAAACTCACATGTCAACTTTCAGAAACACTAGAAACCACACAGGGTCTATAAATCAGACGTCTGCTGTGAAACACTGATGACTAACATCCTCCTCTTCACTTTGCATCTGGTGCAGAGTCATATATTGTCCTTTTCCTTGTGTGTGTAACAGTAACCGTCGTGTAATTAGTTACTTCTAATAGTTACTTTTCTTGATTTTGCTCCTCACTATTTATTTCAGGCCTACATCAAAATTTACCAAGGCGAGGAGCTGCCTCATCCTAAATCAATGCTGCAGGTAATTCTTTCCTCGTACTGTTTTCAGATGTAGAGAATAGAGAGAGAATTATTTAAAAGCTCTTCTGTGGAATCAGCAAAGTTTTCATACCTGACGCTCACTTCCTGTGCTTCCTCTCAGGCCACGGCAGAGGCGAATAATTTGGCAGCAGTCGCAGCTGCAAAAGATCTTTACAACAAGAAAATGGAGGCGGTGAGTGAAAAGAACTTTGAAGTTAATCCTAAACTGACCTCTGGCTGTGGGGTCCTTCTTCATCCGTCCACTCCTTTCCGTCCCCAGGTCTGTGGCGGCGATCGACCCTTCCTGGCCCCCAGCGAGCTGCAGGCCCGACACGGCGTCATCAGGGAGGAGGCCCTGCAGGTGTTCCGGGGCGTGAAGAAGATGGGAGGCGAGGAGTTCAGCCGCCGCTACCTGCAGCAGCTGGAGGGGGAGATCGACGAGGTCTTCGTCCAGTACATCAAGCACAATGACTCCAAGAACATTTTCCACGCCGCCCGCACGCCTGCCACCCTGTTCGTGGTCATCTTCGTCATGTACGTGGCTGCGGGCATCACAGGCTTTGTGGGCGTGGACATCATTGCCAGCTTGTGCAACATGATCCTGGGTCTGGCGCTGATCACCCTCTGCACCTGGGCCTACATCCGCTACTCCGGGGAATACCGAGAACTCGGAGCCGTCATCGACCAGGTGGCTGGTGCACTGTGGGACCAGGTACGTCTGCAAACACATCGAGGAAACGAAATCTGACTGTCTGACATTATTAATACTGGAATCAATACTCACGAGTCTTTGTGCACCATGAAAAAATGAAAGAGTCAACGATCCTCACATTTGAGGAGCTGAAGTTTGTTCATCTCTCGACTTTTGTTTGATAAATAAGTGAAATTGGTAAAATACAGGACAATTACTTTTCTGTTGATTAACTCGATTCATTAACTGATTGTTTCAGCACAACATAGATATTACACAAGTGTTTACCATTAAAATACAAATTCTTAACTGTTTAGTTTCATGAAATCAATTTGTAGTTAAGTTGGGGTTAGAGTTCCAGTTCTTACACTGAAAACAGAACTGTTCATGATTATTTTCATTGTTGATTACTCAAACAAAATATTGAAAAATTCTCATCACAATCCCCCAAATCCAAGTTTTCCTCCTCCGTTTGCTTGTTTGGATACAAACAACAGAGCAAAACCCCGAAACAGTGTGGTTCCCATTATATATATATATATATATATATTATATTCACATTGGAGAAGCAGAACTCAGAGAATCTGTGGCATTTTATGAGACTACGACTTAAATATTGTGTTAATTTGATGTTGGCTGACTCATCAATTGATGAACCAAGACAGGAAACAGCCCAGAGTTTGTTAATTTGTAGAGTAAAAACAAATACTGCACTCTCTGTCTGTAACTTAGGTGCTACTGTCTTTTTAAACCACTAGGGGTCATCTATCTGCTTAAAATCAGTGGCAGAGAATCTAATCACACTCCATTACACCTCTAATGATCTGTTATCAACAAACTTTGAACACTGTGTTATATTCTAAATATAAATATGAATGTTTGTGTTCATGCTATATGTTATTTTCTTTTTAATGCCTCTGCAGGGGAGCACAAATGAGGTAAGTGTATAAGTCATATTAAGAATATTTACAATTCAAAGGACAAACCCACTCGATTTTTATAACAAGAGGGAACTTGATGCTGAATAAGATTGAATAAATCTTTTCTCCGCAGGCTCTCTACAAGCTGTATAATGTTGCGGCCAATCACAGGCACCTGTACCACCACGCCTTCCCCGGGCCTCAGGTGGACGACGCTGCCGAGGAGCAGGACAGGAAGAGGGACTGATTAAAGACACAGCAGGGACTTCCTGGTGATGGACAGGGAAGGAGGCGGAAGAGGAGGAAGAGGAAGAGGAACATCCTCACCCATCAGGCACTCTTTTATTCTGGTATTGGGGCTGTCACCAATACACTCACTACTTCAAACCTAATAACAGACTGTATAATGTTCACGCATAGGCAACGTCAGAGCTTCTCTGCAGCAGCTCTCAAACGAAGGATAACATGAATCATTGTGTCTCACTTCTCCTGTCTGTGAAAACACGTTGTACAGGTGGTGCAGCCGCTCTGCCCGAGGAGAAATCTGCATAGTCCAACCTCCAGTCAGCTGTTTATTTCATATCGGACCAGTTTGCTCTTCATCTCAGTGAAATCCTCATTTGTGACGGTCGTTCTGTTCTTTGAAGTTTAGTGCTGTTTATAAGAAAATATCTATGAAAGCCAAAATATGTTCTGTATGTTGAATAACGAAGCGTCCCATGGATCATCAGCATGGTAAATGGTTCATGTCTTTCATCTCCGAGCTCTGAAACCAGGTATACTTTATATGAAATGTTTCGTTTTAATGGTTGTGACAAAGTGATATTGTGCCATAACATGTAAAAATGATTTCACGCCTCCTGCAGCCACTTCACCTGCTGACACCTGCGTAAATGGCACATTTATTAGTTGTAAAGAGTTTAATTTGCTTTGGAGGTTGGTGTTTCTTTTGAGTTCTGGATCAGGGAGTAGCTTTGCGTCGGCAGCTACTTTAAAACGAACAAAAACACCACGGTTTTAAAGTTTACACGACATAAACCCACATCATCGCTCACTTTATATAGTCCGCTTGCAGTTTTTTTCAGTCACGCAGCGTCCCAGTGATGCTTTATACGAGTGTTTGGCCTCTGAGGTCGAAGGGAAAGAGTGTGTTTGGTTTCCATTGTGATGCAGAGGTGGTGGGTGGGACCATTGTTGTGTTTTCTCACTGAATGTTCGAGCAAATCCGAGGAATGTAGCCTCCCCGTGGCCACCGAGGAATCAAAGCGAGATGCTGTGAGGCGGGGCGACGGGCCTGCTCCGGAGAAGGATCCTCATTCCTCGTCTCTTTCATCATCTTCACACACTTAATTTGAATCATCTGTGAAAGAGGAAAAAAAAAAAAAAGAAAGTGCTGCACGGTGAAAGAGGCCCGGGCCCGACTCTTTGTGTATTCCAGAACAGCTTGCATTTGTAAACAAAAGGCTTATGTCTGTGACAGCACTTTTTGGTGTTTGAATACTTCGGCTTCGTAGACTGTTACTGTACATTTGTATAATCGTGGTCATTGTTTTTAGCTCATTGAATAACCCGGTCCTCTGGTCATCAAGAGTACAGGGACACTGTCATGCGTATTTAGCAAGTTTATACTGAGGTTTGACCTCAAGGGTTGAAGATTTAAAGGCGCTGCAGCACGGTGGCTTCTCCAGTCTTCCACAGCGTATAATCAACATGAGTGAGGCCTTCACACAAAGAACCACCGCAGTCCGCTTTAAGATCCAGGAGGTTTTGAAAATCCCATTTCTTCATGTCTTTGCTGGAGTGATCGTGTCCATTTGTGTCAGAAAAGTAGCTTTTGTTTACATTGTGTTGCGTTTACGCTCCGAGTTAAGTGAAGATTTCGTCTGTCAGGAAAAAAAAAAAAATACCCCCAACAACTTTTCTTGGATTTTAAGAATTCGTTCCTCAAACTTCCCTCATCAACGTTTCAATCCACTGAAAGGTGAAAGGAATCGACCTCTTCCAGGTGGACACGGCTTAGTTTCAGCACATGTACTGCAAACGTTTCGGTAACAAAGACGTGATAATAAAGTTGGACCAAATTAATGACAACTAGACTCGAGTAATATTTTGAAACATTCTGCGTTGACACAACATATAAAAATTCTGTTTTTTCCCCAAAAACTTGAATGAACTCCTCTCCCTCGTTGAAACAAAAACCAGAACACAACATCAAGCTGCACCAAATTACACACACTCGTAGATATCAGTCATCGAGACGTGCCTGATGCTTCACAATGAAAGTAAGCAATTTTAAGGAAGTGAAAAAAAAAACCCCCACACCAAAGTGAACGGGTCCTCGCATGACCCACACCTCATCACCCACAGACAGAGCCTGAGGGGGATTTACGCCTAATATACAAAATACTTGGTTTTCTATTATTTACACCTACAATAACTGTTTTTGGCTATTTGAGGAGCGACAAGCTGAGAAAACATCCCTGAGGTATAATCATCTTTTAAACATCCAACAGTCACAAGTCATTTCTCTTTGAATCGTTAATCCAAAGCCAACACTCGCTCTTTAAACTCCCAACAGCCACTTTACATTTCAGACTAAAATCAATTTCAGGGTTTCATGTCAAAGTAAACACGCAACAAGAGGCAAAAACTGTCAAAACGTGTATTTTTCTTCACTGCAGACTTTATTGCTTTTGTCCTGTATTTGTAATCCACAACATGAGATATGTACAAACTGCTGTTGACACCATTCTGAAAAGATGTGATGGAAGCCAACAGGTTCTTTATTAACTTATTCTACTGAAACTTCAACACACATCTTTTTAGGAAACTCAGAAGTTCTCATACAAATGTCCTATAAACTACTTAATATTCAAAATAGATCCAAACCCTGGTTTATAAATTAGAGCCGTAAACTTTTTAACACAGTTAAACACTGACTCCTGTCTTTGCTCGACAAGACCTCAGATTTTAGGACACTTCTGAATATCTTAAAAAAAAAAAAGTAATCTATTAATCAAGAGAATATGCTTCCAAGAACCTGCGCTTCACAAAAGAGACGTGTCAGTCCGTGAAAATAAGGCATCACCGAAATATATCCAGAGAGAATGAAAAGAAAAAACTGAATTGCACTTGGTTGGCAAACTTTGTGTCTTCTGAAGTGTTTTAAAACGTTCCAGTAGCTTATTTAAGATTCATTATACACAAACACAAGTATATTCCTGACTTACAGTAATGCCAGTGAGCCAAGAGATGCTCCAACCGCTGCATCCGATGAGATGCTTCATCCGTCAAAAGGTCTTCGAAAAAAAGACGCGTTTCATATCAAAACTTAAATATGTGTTCAAAGTTTTGGTGGATTGTCTGGTAAAGCATACAGTTTGTCATAAAATAAGAAAAATGCACACTTTCTGTTTAGTGTAAAAAAGACTGTGGTTTCAGTTTTATGAGGGTAACAAAGCAAAAGGAAAAATAGTCATGAAGTATTTCGTATGGGAACAAATTAGAAGAAGCTGCCGGTCGTTTTCTCCCGCAGGAAAAAATGACGGAGTAGCTGGTGGATACACGATATGAGCAGACATTGTAAAAAATGCTGCGTTTACTCGTTTAAAAAAGGCACAATCTCAGGGTGTTTTTCAACAAAGTCTGTTTTTCAGTCTCTGTTCTCCTCAGTCTTTAAAACTAAAATCCAAACAGCAACTCGGTTCTCAGGGCAGTGGCTGTAAACGGCACCGCAGGCAGTCTCCCCAGATGTAGCGCATTATACGTCTTTTTTTTTTTCTTTCTTTCTTTCTTCTTCATTGGAGTGTTTTTCAATCACATGATCATTCATGAATTGTGTCGTTTACCCCCCCCCCACCCCCCGCTGTCGTGCATCTCAACTTCCTGGCTGATATATTTGGATCAAGCGAAGGCACAGATGTGTTTGGTAAAAGAGGCAATTAAGAGTCAATCACGATTTCAAAAAGAAACCCTGACCGCTCCCAAACTGTGGCGACCACAGAGGGGCGTGGCGGTGCGGCATCCTGAGTGCACATACACATCACATGTTCCCCATGAAGTTCTTGTTGGGCTGCTGGGCGTACCACTGCTGCCGCTGCTTGCGGGCCTCCACCTCGGACAGCAGCGCCTGTCGGTACGCCTCGTAGGATTTGACGATGTGTTCCAGCTCCTTCATGAAGAGCAGCTTCAACATGCCCTGATACGTGTCCAAGTCCGCCAGCTGGAACAACTCCCACTTCAAGATGTGGTCGTACCTGATGTAGGAGGGAAGAGACTGGCGGTAAATGATCTGTAGCCTGTGCAGCCGCTCCCTTCCTGTACATCTACTAATTCCAGAAATCTGTCTGTATGTGACATCTCTCTAGAGCCGTTCATCTAACCGGCTTCACACCTGTCATGTGTGTTAAAGGCCAGAGGAAGTGCATTAAACTTTCTAAGCGTCCACGACAACTGATTCTCCAGTTTGTGGTTCTGTGGGGCTTCGAGCTTCGCTGGACTTTGAATGAACAGCTCTTTGTGCAGCTTCAGGTTTTTATTTGTTGTGTGTCTCAAGCATCACCACGGGTGAAACAAACAGGCAGGTTTAGAACAACTAGTGATGACAGGAGACATGACAGGTCCCCAGAAGTGAAGCCCAAGCGGCTGGCTGCAGTACAGGTCATAGCCCCTGCCTCCTCCGTGCTAGCGGATGGGTCATGGGCCAAACAAAAAAGTAAACGTAAATTAATTTTTCTCAAAGATGGGTTCTCTCATTTGAGGTATTTCTTATCCCACTGACGCAAGTAAGTTTGGTTTTAATCAGTTAGTTGATGCAATACAAAAGGGGTGGAGTTAAAACTGACTTGCACTTGGTTGAAAGCATTTATCTGCGAAGACTTTCCGTGTAAAATCTCTCCACTCATGAGTCTCACACTGGAAGTTGTCTGAGCGTGTGTGATATGTGAGGTACTCACTTTAGTGGTGCACGGGCGTACACCTGTAGCCAGTCTGGAATCTCAGCTGTGTGGTACGGGTTAGCGGGCACCAGGACCGGCTGGTTCCTCTCTGCAGGACGTGGCTGATAGGTCACAGGAGGTGGTAGTGGTGGGGGTTGATCATAGCGAGGGACGCTGGAAGACATGTAATATTTGACCCTGAAGTAAGTTGCTTTATTATGTTATGTAAACTTCAGTGAAGACATTTTCTAGTGAGTTGTCCCTCAATTTGTTTGACGAGATACCTTGGAGCACAGGGGTGGCGATACTGTGCCCTCTTGTTGATGTGATCCACATAGTAGACCCCAAACTCAGCAGACTCCACCTTCTCCCAGCCTGGGGGGAGCCCTTCCCTCTCCAGAGGGTGGCTCCAGTGTGTGGTGTTGGTGTTGTGGTCGATGTAGTACTTCCTGCCGCGGATGGTCCAGTCGACGGTCCAGCCGGCCGGAAGTGGGAGGTCCTCTCCCGTCAGATTGGAGAGGTTCCCCAGGGATTTGGCCTGTATTCGACCTATGCCTGAGGAAAACAAACATTTCTTTTTAGAAACGAAGCGAGAGAGAGAGAGAGGGAGCGAAGTCTGAACAAACACACGGCAGAGCAGCTGCCCGCTAACTGGGCCTCTGGGAAAGAAGAAATATTTTTCAAAAATATCTGAAAAACAGCATGTGTGGGAAAATGACATTTAAAGCAGAGGAATGTACAGCTCTCAGGAAGGTCCCTCTGATGTGGCAACTGTACATACAGCAGGATAAGAGAGGAATGCAATGAATCACTACTTAAAGCATGACTGATGCCGTTTTAAGCAGTGCAGTGATTGTGAGCAGGGTTGCCTAATCCCTTTGACTCTCGGACTGTTGTGACGGAGCATCTTATTCTGACCGACGTCGTTTAATGAATGGTAGGAAATGGGAGTGTTGTTACTTTTGGACAGGAAGGCAGAGATCTCTGCATGGACACACACACACACACACACACACACACACACACACACACACACACACACACACACACACACACACACACACACACACACACAGAGAACAAACCACTGAACTCCCAAACACCCCGAGAGCCGACAGCCAAGTGGGCTCGCTCGCTCGCTCAAAAAAAAAGGTCCTGTACTTTTTTTACTGGTGAATAATGTCAGTGAGGAATGTTGAACAAACAGCTGTGAGGACGAGTTAGACCGAGTGAGAAATGTTGTGACTGAAAATAAAAAAGCCTGCAGGGACTCAGAAATGTTTGAAACGTTAGAGAATGTGCGAGGAATGGAGCGTCTCGGCAAAATGGCGGCTACAATCTGATAAATTCTGCACGAGACTGACAGCAACAGAGCTGGAGCTCTTTGCCAGCTGCTGAGTGAAGGGACGGAATGTGCACGCTCTTCAGAAATGCACTCCTCCTCCTCATCATCATCATAATCATCATTTCTGCCCTTTTCTCTAGAAAAACGGCAGCTCGCCATACTCACTGAACGCACGACAGGAATTTCACTGCATACAGTCGAGAGTCGTCGTGATGTTAAAGCCGTTTTCGGACACGAAGTCATTTCCCTGAGTTTGCAATTCAAATATGAAAAACGCAGCAGGAGTCAGACACGTTCACAACGACAGGATCATGTCCAGAACATTCAGGCGTCTGAGTGGCAGGACATGACGCGTAAACTCAGCAGCTGAAATCACATGTTTTTATTTACAGAACACTGACGTCGGCCGTTATCACCAAAAGCTCTCGAATCTCGTTGTTGACGTCTTCTACGTGTATGGTTTCTCTTTGTCATCCTGAGATAGTTTTTTTGCGTCCATCGTGTGTTAGAAACGTCATCAACACACCCACTCACATTGGCTGTGAATATTCTAGATATTTTCCTGTCGTATTCTCACATTCGCTCATTCTGTAATTTCACCAGGGGGGCTGGAAGGAACAGTTCTGGAAAAAATCGTCTGGAGCAACTTACTCGGACATTAGGGTTGGTTCAGTTCAGTAGATCAAGTCATTGATTACAACACATGAATTATAAACAAAAAAAAAAATTGACAGCAAAATCCTGCAATCAAATTATTCTTAATATGAAATACTCATCTCAAATGTTAGGATCTGGAACAAGACTGTTAGTGCAGTACTTACTCATATTCTTAAATCGATAATTAGCCTGTTATAAATAGCCATTTACATATATAAACATAAATGGGAAGCAGACTCATATTTCCTGTAATACCCTTACAAATGTTTACCAAAGGAAGAATCAGCAGATTGTTGGTAGATGACTCCTCCTCTGCTTACAACTCATTAGTCTTACGTTAGCAATGTAACTATGAAGGGAACAGCTTCTACAGACGCTGATGATTCATAGAAATGAGCAGGTTCAGGCTGAGACGTTGAACTGGAGGCGGTTTACAAATTACTAGTTTGCCAGCAGAAAGATTCAGCAAACAGCGAGGTGAAAAATGCAGAGCCCCTAATGCTTGTTTAGCTTCACTCCAAACAAGGCCGCATATGTGACAGGCAGAGTCAGACGTAAAATTAAACCATATACGTGTTGACAAGTCAGCCACAAAATAAAAGGTTCACGATCTTTTGAGGGGGGGGACTGGAAAATTCCAGTGAACCCCCAAAACATTCAATCTCCTGGAAATTACACACTGACGTCACAGCGATGTTTACAATGCAGAACACTAGGATAAAAAAATTTGATTCCTCAGAGAGACTGAGATGAAATTGCTCTTTTGAGTTGAACACTGACCACCACCAGTCTGCATTCTTTCCAGAATACTTTTTCATTCCATAAGGGAAATCATACATTATGTTTTCACCAGATCCGAGAGTTTTCTCAATAAAAAAAAAAGATTTTCCCTTAAAAATAAAACATCTCAATTGTCACACCACAGAATTTGATGAAAAAGCATGTGTGCAGTTCAAAAAATAAAAATTCATGACCTTTCTTGCTTCTTATTCCTTGTCACTGCTTAATTATTATTTTTCCCCACAGAGGAACAGTAAAAAAATAAGAAGGATAACACAGTTCATGTTTACCTGAAGGGGGTCTGCTTGGAGCTGGGGGGGTGTGCTGTCGGGGAAATCTTTGGAAGTTGTGTTCATTTTGCTCATAGTATCTATAGTCCTCAGGAAAGCGATCTGGGACCCTCCTGGGCTGCTGCTGCTGCTGCTGGTGCTGCGGCTGGTGCTGCTGCTGCTGGTGCTGCTGCTGCTGCTGGCTGTCATAGTAAGGTTCAGAGGGGTAATAATAGCGGGAAGCATCTCCATTCTCAGACATGGGGCTCACGTCTGTGAGGAAAGACTGTGAGGAGCCTCCGTACTCGTGGGGGAGGTCCCCCAGACTGCGAGGCAGGTATGGGGGTGCTGACATGCGGTGGCTCTCTCTGCGGGCCACCTCATGCGGAGGCCTCTGCACAGGGGTGCGGAGGAAACTCTTGTTGCGGGACACCACGGGCTCCCTACTGGGAGGAGGGTATGCGGAGGGCCCCATCTCTGGCAGAGGGACCTCTGTGCGTCTGGGAATAGTGGGTCCATGGCGGATGAATGAGGGCATCAGATCTGCAAATAACAAACAAATGAAGTGTCAGTATAAGTCAACACAGAGGTAATGCCAACGGGCAGTGGAGGAATCTAACAAAGTACAAGTACTCAAGTTAGTGGTAGATCATCTATGTTTATAGCACTTTTCTACTCTTGATGACCACTTAAAGTACTCTACAGTAGTTTACACACAGTACAGTGGTCACACTTCACTCACACACTGCTGGCACAGCCGTCAGGGTTAATTTGGGGTTCAGTATCTTGCTCAAGGACACTTGGGATGGGGGCGATCGAACTGGAGATCTTTCAATGTGATACCTTCACGGAGCAGTACTAATACTTGAAGTGCATGTTCATAATACTTCTCTCGGCCCATCCACTAGGTACTGAGGGCGAATATGAAACATGATATAAAGCAGATTACCTGTGGGTTAAAATACTATTTTAGTTTTGGTCACACAGTTTGGAAAGTTCAGTGCAGATGACAACACATTCAATTCTACTGAAAGACAAAAGTATGGTCACTACTTACAACCCAGACTTTGCAGAATTAAGAAAACAGAAATGAAAACACAGAATACACGTAACTAATGGAGTTTAAGTGGTACTTGTACTCGTGGTTGAATACTTGGTACCGTTATCTCACAACTTTGCTTTAGCCCAGCAGCTGATGTCAGTGTAGCGACCAGATGATCGGTTAGCGTAGCGAGCAGCTAGTTAGCAGGTTAGCGACTTGTTTGGGTTAAAAACAAAAACAAAACAAAAAACAGTTTCAGATTAAAACAGTTGGTTTGTAAAAGTGTGAATCGCTGTGACGACGTTTCCAGATGTTTAACCTCGTGGTTGTTTTTGACACTTTTCGCCGCTGAGCTAACTTTGACCAGGCAGGCTAGCCGATGCTAGCTGGAGCTAGCAGGCTAACTTACTTCTGAGGAGCGGCGACGTTTCCTTCTTCACATATTTCCCGTGAACCTCGGCTGGTTTGGACGCTTCGTTTTTACTTTTCTTTCTCGAGAGCATCACTCACGGCTCGGAGACGTCAACAACGCGGCGCTGTGGTTTCATGGCTCAGTCCTGCGTGTCTGCGACCGTCCCGTCCGCTCGGCTCAGCCCGGAGAGTCGACATGTTTTCAGCCTCGGTGTCAGTGAGCCTCCGCCGCTCTGTCAGGGCGGTCCCCGCTTTACAGCCGCGCGCTCACACGGGGCTTTACGGTAACCCCGGGTTTCACAATAAGAGTGTAAAATGTTCCGGTAATTAATAGAAAGGTGGCGGAGAGAGCTCAATGCCCTGCAGATTTAAGATAACACATGCATGTAGAAAAATCACATGCACGTAGAAAAACACTTTCAAATTAAGAAAACACATGCACATAGAAAAACACATGCATGTAGAAAAATCACATGCACGTAGAAAAACACTTTCAAATTAAGAAAACACATGCACATAGAAGAAACACGTTCAAATTAAGAAAGGAACTTCATCAATTTGACGACACACGCACTGCAAAATCTTACACCACATGCAAATACATGAACAAGCTGCAAATTGCAAAAAAAAACTACAGTGGAAATGTTTCCAGGAGACTCAAAAAAGTGATGAACCTTTGGTAGTTCAGTGTGAAGTTCCATCACCACTGATGAGCAGCAGACTTCAGTAACTTCAGATTCAGATAGTAAATAGAAAATGCACATGAGTGAAGTGCAGTGGCACAGGATTGTGTATTCGTAGTATAGTTTAAGGAGATATTGAAACAGATATATTTCTAGTTTCTTCTGCAATACATACACAGACATATTGAGGAATTGGAATTTCTCAGACTCTCGGTCTCCCCATCAACACAGATTTAAGTAAAAGTAAAAAACAGTAAACACTGAATAAAAAAACAAGTCTTAATATAAGAAAATATTAGAAAAATATTAAAAGAAGTATACGTATATATGTATATATATATATATGTATATAAATATATACACACATACATTATGCAGGAGTACGTGCTATAAAAACTCAATTTTAATGAGTTTAATTTATATGGGAAACGATTGTTAAAAAAATACACCACTTGATTTCTATATTATATATTTTGTCTCTATTGTGTTAACACTTTTATTTTGAAAACCAGCAGTAGACTTACTTATTCTCACTCTGAGTCAAAGTTTAAATTTAGTGAAATTGTTTCGTTTGAGTTTAAATTCACAGAATGTTTTCAGGTGAAGATCTGAGTCTGTATCACGAGTTTCTACAGGATGAAGACAAAGAAAGAAAAATAAAAGAATAAAGTCGCTTTTTCAACATTTACCGAAAAGCTTATAATACAGGCGAACTCCAAATATAGGTGCGACTGGTTTGACCACCGCTGCTTCAGGAGAAATTTAAATCTTCTGTCCTGTTTATTTAGTCAATTTCTCTCCAGAGAAAATGAAGCTGCAGGAAACTGGAACGATCCTATCTTAACTGCAGCAGAAGCAAATAAAACAAACACAACATATTAAAACAATTTATGTATTTTATTTTTACTAAAAGCACAAAACAGGACCCTGATCTCAACCTTAGTGCTTTCTCTGCATCAACCACAGAGACATCCTCCTTCACTTTAATCAAAGACATTCATTATTGTGCAGTCTGCAAATGCAGCTTTATACCGACACTTATCGTATTGCAACAGATCATTAGGTTCTATCAGACATAAATAAGGAGTGTTGACAGGTCACAGTTATTTGACCATCCTGTTGTGATTTCACCACTGACGGACATGTTACAGATTCTTCTTTACGTAAAGGCTTCAGAAGACAGACGTGAGCTGAACACAATCTCTTTAACAAAAGAACACTTGTATAAAAAGTACACTTCAGTGTCACATTCCTCCCCCGAGGGAGAAGTTTAGTGTCGTGGTAAAATATTTACTCATTAACTCGTGACAGCTTCTGCTTTGAAATATTCATTTTCATGATAAATAATCATAAAATAGCACATTTGCTTCTTCATTGATCCAAAACAAATACTGCACATGTAATAGTAAAATTTAAGTTAAAACAGGATAGAATATGAAAATAAAAACATTTGGTTGGATTAAAAAGATTCAATATATTTCCAAGGACATGAGAAAGGAGCTGTGCAGTTTACGGACGACGTTTGGAGTGCTGGTGCATTTTTTAGGAGATGCATTATGAACACTTGTAGTGGTACGGGAGCGAGGGAAGGGGCGACGGGTTCAGGTCTCGCACTATCTTGTTCAGGCTGGAGATCTTCTCCTCCAGCAGGTAGTTCTTCTTCTCTGCCATCTTGTGCCGCTGCTCGGTGATCTCCAGAGCCTTCAGCAGCTGAGCGTTCTCCACATACAGGTCTTGGATCAGCATGTCTGCTTTGCCGTTCTTGTTGAGCTGGAAATATCAGAAGAAATTAGACGACAAAGGGTTTGATAACAACAATATGAATCCAATCTGATGTTGGAGACAAGTGTTGGAATGAAAAATGTACCTTTGAGTTGATTTTATAGAAAATGCAGAGTTATGTATCTTTGAGCAGTTTGGACTGACCTGCTCCTTCAGCTGAGCAACCTTCTCTTTGAGCAGCAGCTTCACGTTGTGCAGCGACAGTTCGATTTCTCTCATTCTCTCCTCCATGTACTTCATCTTCCTCTCCCTGTCGTCCTGGTGATGAGACGGAGAATATCATCAAACTGCTGCAAATGTAATAAAATGATAGTATATCTTGAATCTTCTGTTAGTTAAATTGAAATAGTCTTTGGTTGGGTCAGAAACAACATATAGACCAAATTGTTTTGAACTAGATGCTTTATTTTGTCTTGAGTTCTATCACATTTCTAATGGAGATGATAATAATTACACTAGAAAAATAAATAAAATATAAATAAGTATAAAATGTATTCCAGATACCTACAAAAAAAATAATTTAATGCATAAATAAAATAACGAACACAATTCTAAACAAAATAAATAACAAAATAAATCAAATATAATTCAGGTGAATCTATACATGGTGCAAAAAAGAAAAAATAGATGATTCACTACCACTCACAAACCCGAAACACAGATATGACAATAACAGATACACAATGTAGTAATGACACACTATTGGGGAAACACAATGATTTGGCTCATGTGGACTTTCTAACACTAAAAACCAGATAAACATTCAAAGTTAACAGCAGTGTGACGTGTTTGATCGCTCCACGTTTAAGAAAAAAAGAAAACATAACCCTTAAACTTGTGATTTACTTTGGTCGTGCAGCAGCAACACAAACGGCAACACACAGACCCAGACGGCAAAATAACAAATCGACAGGTAGAAACATTCGACCGTGTGTGGTGTCAGAGAAGAAATACAGACATGATCAAAACAGCGAAAAGACAAACAGAGAGAAGCTCGTACCTTCATTAAGAGATCTGGAGAAACCCTGACTGGACACAGACAGTAACACACTGAAATTGCTTGATTGTTGGAAAAAGGCTCAGAGGACTGTTAGGCAATGACCTCGCCTCAACATTAACACGCCTCGATGATCGTAAGGCAAAGTGTCGAACTAGATTCAACCTCGGAGGATATTTGATACATAAATAAACCCTGTCTCAGACAATGGTGAATGTTTCAAGTGCAAAAACCGAACATTCCCAGAAAATGTACCCCGTGTTTAAACGACTCCCTGTAATCAAGAATTAAAAAATACACGCAGATGTTACATTTTCAACGGCATGTCTTACAAACACGACATTTTCAACAGTAATGCCATTATCTTAATGGAAATCTCACGGGGAGAACACCAGGAGTCTTTCCTGTGTTTTCCTGCCACCTGGTAGCAAAGAAATACAATTACACATTCAGGCCTTTTCAATCAGGCACATTTGTTCACAATCTCCTATAAGGATGCAGAGAGGGCGGACATTTTGTGCTCCAGTGGGATTTTTTTTTGCTCCGAACAGAGCAGAAGAAGAGCAGAAAGTAGGGAGAGCAGTCTCGGAGGCAAGAGAGGATTAAGCAGGGAAAGACGCTGGTGTTACAATCCACCGATCCGCCGGTAGCTGTCTGCGTGAGCCGCCCGCTGCTCCGGCATCGGCCCCTGGAGAGAGAAGGCAGGTACACTTCACCAGAGCTCAGACCACGCCTCTAAAGGCCATACACAGGCTATAGTGGTGAGTGCACACAAAGAAGTGTGATCAATGCTAAATGAGAATAACGAGGAATTATGAAATAATGATGAACATTAACAAAGATAAAATACACAACAGTGAAACTAAAACGATGTCGTAAACTATTACTGGTTGAGGTAATCATTAGTCCTGTCCATACTGGCTATAAAGAGAAAAATAATTTTCTTCTAAGTGCATTGTTTCTTAGCTGAAGGACAAAAATACAATAGTAAATAAAAAGCTTCATACAGATTATTCTGTTTATCATTAAATTAGATTTATAAAATCTTAACTGTCATGAACTAGATTCAGCTTCCAGCGTATTCATTCTACGTTTGAGATAACTAGGTATCATACTGTGAGAAAAAATGACACAACGAGATGTCAGCTGCCGTTACAATATGTGATAACTCCAAAAACCGGGACGAGCTACTTCTCCCGGATGGAAAGTGACAGACGTTTGTGCAAAAGGTGACAAATGGAAAACAGTGAGCAGGACCACACCCAGATGATGATCACACCACTTCAGTCACCAGATGGAAAATTAAATAGACGCGGTGAGTTCGGGCAGAACAACACACAGGCACTACGGACTAAATACCAAACCCAAAAAGTAAACACTACACACACACACGACATCAGGTGAAGACAAACAGGTGCTGAAGATGGATGTGTGACAATCACCAAAAACAAGGAGCACAGCAAACCCAGCAGTAAAACAAGGGAATGGAAAATAAAAACAAATGAGGATCTCTATAACTATTTCACACTCAACTAAGGTGTTAATCAAATTTTATATGATTTGTCATAACTTTTTTTCAACACCTGAATTGAGTGATTTTTTTCTAAACCAGCCGGACAGAAATACAATGGGCGTATTTACATTTAACTCCCATTATATCCTGAAAAACATCCACAGCACGAGGTGCACTTCCCCCTCAGGCATTTATGATGAGCTCATGATTATGAGAACAAATAGCCGAGATGTGACAAAAGAAAAAAATGACAGTGGAAGAAAAAATGGCAGGAAATGAACATAAAACCAAACCATGCAACGACGCGATGGCACCAAATCTTCAGAGGCTAAAATATCAATTTAATTACACTATAGGAAAAGTCAAAGTCTCACAGCACACACTGGTTAGTTATAAAGGAACAGCCCTCATCTTCAAGTCTTATGCTTATCTGTTATATGTCAAACGAAGGTTCAGGTGGGACAGTACCTGCATGTTGTCCGGGTCGTCACCTCGATGTTGTCCTCTGGGATTCCTGTGAGGGGACGGAGGCAGAAGTCCGACTAAGTGAGCCTGGAAGCTCTGGACACAGTAAAAAAAACAAGGAGGAAAGAATTATAGCCGAACTAGAAACAGTGTGAGGTGACTTTATTTCACAACAATTGAATCACGTATTCTAATTTTTACTTTCAGTTCAAAAGAGTGGTTACTCAGATTTGCTTTTTTAATTTGTCTCGTCCCGAGAGCAGAACCAATAACGTTGCAGCATATGGATACGACAGTCTTAGTTGTGAGAGTAAGAGGAGAAACGTTGGTATCCGAATGTACCTCGAGCAGCTGTGTGGACAGTCGAGCCATTTGTGCTTTGAGCGCCTCGTTTTCTTGCTGAAGACTCTCCAGCTCCGTGTGTTCTTTTCCAGCTTCACAGCCCTGAAACCGGCGCACGTACAATAATAAGAATTTAAGAGGTTTCCACATGTTAAAACACAACAAAGGTTATTAACACAAAATGTTTTACCTTGGTCTGTTCCTCTTGTGCCTCAAGCTCCTGCTTCAGAGAAGCGTTCTCCTGTTCCAAAGCCCTCACCAGCGACGACTGACTCTGATGTCTGTGCTGCTTCAAGGACAAGATGGTGGCATCGAGCTGACGGACCTGGAGCAGAGAATCAAAGGGATTCAGTTTAGTGACAGGGTAGAACAGGTTGTTAAAGTTAGCGTCAGTTAGTTGGAGGCCTCAGCTCACCTTCTCTCTGGACTGCACCAGGTCTCCTTTAATGTTACGCACTTCAGCCTGAAGCCGCTCGTTCTCCTGCCTCAGCAGCTGCTGCTCTTGTTCCATCAGCCGAGACATCTCGTCTCTGTACAGCTTCTTACTTGGACTGTGCAGACCGCTGGAGTGCAAGGCCATTTCTAAAACATGTTTCTGTGATAAACAAAGACGGAGGTCAGCTCCACTGAACATGGAGGAACAAGTCGACTTCATTTCCCCGTACAACTGAACATTTAACATACATTCAGTAAAAAAACATCCAATGAGAATCTGTGTTGAGAGAAGATTTTGGGGTTGGTTGCCTCTCAAACGAGTCTGTTAAGTGACCAAGATGGAAAACATCTCACTTTGTCGTTGGCATTCTGCAGCTGTTTGTGTAGGATGGCGACTTCACGTTTGAGGGAATCCCTCTCCTTCTGCAAAACTCGCACGTCGGCTTTGAGACGAGCACTTTGATGATTCACAGCCTGACAAGTTTCATCCACTGTCTTGACCTAGAGAGGATAAAAAATAAACATTTTAACAAAAGTTATCTCCTGCGGTTTCTGCACTGAAGAAATGGTCCAACATTAGAATGAACATGTGGTTGCAGGAGGCTCTTACCCTCTCCTGAGCTTTGGCGAGCTGGTTGCAAAGGCCCTGATTCTCCATATCCACACTCTTCCGCTCCTCGAGTAGATGGCTGAGCTTATTCTCCACAGAGTCCAACTTGACTGCCTAAAAAAAAAAAAAAAAACAGAGACAAGTGCAAATGTAATTAAAAACGTTACTTGATGAACTTTACGGCTGAAGCTGGATCACAACAATATATCTCAGGTGCCTCAAGGCTGCAAAATACTCATCTTCGCTCACTTTCACTGGGACATGAAATTAATTTGGTGCTGTTCATACTTTCTTTGTGTCTGTGCCATGCTTTGATGTGACGTGTCCACAGCCTCATTCTCACCTTCTCTCTGAGGTCAGACAGCTGCAGTGACAGCTGGGCGTTCCTCTCCTCCAGCTGCGCAGTGTCCTCCAGAGCTTTGTTCAGCTCTGCCTCCAGTGAAGACACACACGCTGCCAGCTAACACACAACAGCCACCAATTAACTACCCACTACGACCACCACAAAACCACGACGATCATCGTTTTATACAAAACACAGTTTACCTTGTTTTTATCTTCAGCAGGGAGCGCCTCCCTTCTCTTCTTCTCCTTCATCAGCTCCGCCAGCTGCTGTCGTAGAGTCTCCTGATCAGCCATGTTTTGGAAATTTCTCTCGGACAGGATCCCGTTCTCATCCTCAAGTTGTTGGCTCTGAAAACGCAGCTCTGCAATCTGCAAGAGGAAATAAATGGACGTCTCGAGACATGCTTCTGAATGAAGACAGACATAAAGCAAAAACAAAAACTTGTTTATCGAGTTGTATGTGAAGTACCTGGTTCTGGAAATGTTCTGCTGCCTTCTGAGCGGCGCCCTTCTCATTCCTCAAGTGTTCCAAAGTTCGTCTGAAATTAAACAATGGAATGAAAAACAATATCATTTTACACAACTCAGTAAAAAAACTCACTGACATGAGGAATTGAAAATAATATTTGGCGTTTCTTACGTCAACTCTTCCTTGGCCTCCTTCAAGTCCTCCTCCTTCAAAGCAGAGATTTTCTGCCTGAGGAGGAGGTTTTCTTCAGCAAGACGACACGCCTCAGATCTACAGACGGAAAAAAACAACACATGAGGCAAAATCCAACACGCTACATTAAAAACATGACCATCAGAATCTCTCAGATATGTTTCACTACATGTTGATTAAAAGCAACTTTTTCTACCAAATACACACATTGAGCTTGTGGTTTCTTCTTTTCTTTCTACTGGAGAACTGAGATCTGTTGCATCACACAAAGGTTGAGGAGCATTAGGACACTAATCACATCAGGCAGGAGAAACACGTGTGTTGTGTCTGGGAACAAAGGGGGGAGCGTTTCTCAAATCACCACCAGGGACGGGACAACGAGAAGCCACAGGATACGCGGGAGCACGGGATCCTAGTATTTCTGCACGTTACCTATGGGCCTGCGTTGTTTCATCTAAAGTCTGTGACTTGTCCTGGAGCTGTGTGACGGCTCTGCGTAGTTTGGAGTTCTGCTTCTCAAACTCTTCACAGCAGTACTCCAGGTCACTCACCCCCTGAACTGGGACCTCCAGCTGACTGGTAGGATCCAGGGAATCCTCTCCCGTGGGGCTCTGCGATCGTCCGGCACCTGGATGCGTGTCTGGGAGAATCTCATCCTGCCGCTCCAGTTCGTCGAACAGCCCTGACAGCCTGGCGTTTTCCTCCCTCATCCTGCTGATCTCATCCACAAGTGAAAGCTGCTCATCTTGAAAATCATGGAAAATGTTCATCCTGGTTTCAAGGTTCCAGACGCTCTTTTCAAGTTCACAGTTCTGCTCCTTCAGTTTGGCATTTTCACACATGCAATCTTCGTACTGAATCTGAAGATCTGTCACTCTTAAGGCCTTCCTCTCGAGCTCTCTGATGTGCTCCATTAACAGAACCATTTTAACTTTGAGGCTGTAGTTTTCCTCCAGAACCTGGCGGCCAGATTTGATCTTCTCACTGTTATGAGCCAGAAGACTCTCGAGTATTTCCGTCTTCTGGTGAAGCAGAGAAATCTTCTCATGCAGGAGTCGGTTCTCCTCTGTGGCAGTGTTGTACAAACCCTGGAGTTTTGGGAGAGAGCCGTCCTGGTTCTCACAGTCACCATCTTTATCCAGATGTTGCAGACAATCATGTGAGCAGTCAGCACGCTCATCCTTTATTTTAGTGGTTAAATGTTCACAGTCCGACTCTGAAACCAATTCAGCTTCCTGTTTACAGCGGTGAGAGTTATTTGATAAAACATTAACCTCAGCCTCCTCCAGAGACAGTTCACCAGGGTCACCCGTCTCCCCCAGCACCGATGGTTCAACCACTGTCTCGTGACAGGGCTCATCTTCATGGGAAAAGCTTCCAGAGTCATCTTGAGGTTTGGACTCATCTTCACATGATGCTCGAGCTGTTTTTTTCTCACCATCTGCAGCGACTTCATCAGCATCCTCGTCTTGAAACACCTCAAGCAACGAGGGCGCTTCACGGTGCATCTCTACGGAAACAGATTCTTTTTTGTTTTCGATATTCCCAAGATTTGAGTTAGTTCCTTCGTCATTACAAAGTCCAATTTCTGTGGAACAACAGCTAACGTGAGCTTCGTTAGGGTTCAGATCTCCAGGTTGAGAATCAGAAACAACTCGATTTTCACATTCGTCACTGATATTCTCAGTCACAACCATTTGATTGTCTTGTTCTGGGTCCTCAGAGTCATCCATGGTTATTTTCAGCAAGTTATCACCATCATCATCGGTAGCAGGGACCTCATTATCATATTCATGGCAAACATTGATATTTGCAGGGCCTCCATTCACAGAATCAAGTGCATCCATTACAGCTTCAACCAGAAAAGGTGACGAACAAACTAGTTCTTGATTAGAGGACTCAACAAAATCCTTGATCTGGATTTCAGGTACTGGACACGTTTTCTGTTCTTCACCAGAAAGAGAAATACTTTCTCGGATGTTTTCATTTTCCTCTGTGAATGAGATTAAATAATTTGATCCCCTCATTTCTTTTTTCTCATCTTTTTCTATCGAGGTTGAAACCCGATCGAGTTCCTTCTCTAGCTCTTGAATTCTTCTTGTAAACATCTCTCTCTCTGCTATAAGACCGTCTTTGTCATTCTCGACTTTATCTTTTAACTTCTCCTCGAGAAAAGATATATTCTCCTGCAGCTCCTTCCTGTCAAATTCAAAGTCCTCAGCTGCCTGTTTAAGCAGCAGCTCCAGCTCCTCGATCTTCATCCGTAAATCATCTCGCTCCGTCAACAGTCCAATCCTCTCCGTTATCTGACCCTCAGAAATCACCAGCATCTCCTTGTAACTGGCCTCAAGTTCTGACTGGTTGCTCAGATGCTCTGTCCTCTCCTGTTTAAAATCCTCCACGGTTTGATTCAACAGGAGCTCAGCCTGCAGAGCTTTGGACTCAGACTGAGCAAGAAGCTCGTCTTTGACTTGCAGACTCTCCTGGAGACGGTTATGGAGGTCGTTCAGCTGCCGGCTGAGCTCTATCTCTTTTGTCTGGGCCAAACTAATGAAGTCATCCAGTTCATTCTGCAGTTGCCTGCTTCTGATTATCAGTTTATCCAGTTCGTCCTTGTGGAGACTTTCGAGCTCACGTCGTTCTTTAGTCCACTCTTGATTCAGGCTCTCTCTCTCCTGCTCCATTTCCTCCTTCATCCGTCGTCTCTGTTCCTCAGCATTTTCAACAGCCTCTTTCATCTGAGCCTCCCAGTGTCGCCTCTGCTCACCGTGGCTTTCAGAGAGCGCCTTCAGGTCACGTTGGTAGTGCTGCTCAAGTTTCAAAACATCAGCCTGAAATTGCTCGGAGACCAATTCTTGTTCGACCGAGAATCGCTCTTCCACCTCTTTGAGTCTTTGGGTGAAGCTGATCTGGATTTCCCTCCTGTACATGGTTATTCAATGAATGTTACAGCAACAGGATTGAACTCGTATTTGTATCATGTCAACAATTCTGAACAAAAACATTTTTATATTTAAGCTTTTTATAAAAGGAGTAGTAAAACATTTCAGAAAATCCACTGTTTTCTTGCCAAGAGTTAAAGGAGAAGATGAAAAACACTCTCACGTCTTTACAGTAAATAAAGCAAGGAGACCATAGCTTAGTATAAACACTGGACCAAGTTAGCCTGACTTTATAAAGCCACAACCCGCACCTATAAAACTTAAAGGTAGCATTGGTAAGTAACACAGCACAGAACAAATCATGCCTCTGTCCGGTTGCCATGTTAGTGAGTCAGTGGACTTTACCTTCAAGTCGTTATGCTAACGTAACCAGTGGCTGCTTTAGAAGAAGTTACCATAAGATAAATAAAATGCACCGAAGCCTCACCTCTCCTGAACCATGTCATCTCGTAGTTTGTCCAACATGCTGCTGAGGGCGTCCCTCTCTTCGCTGTGCTTTGCGGTCCGCTCCGTCATGGCCTCTCGGTGGCTCTCCTCTAGAAGAGCCCTCTCCTCTGCCATTAAGTTTTCTAGTCTCTTCTCAACATCCTCTTTCTCAGTCTCAAGCTTCTCCCTCTCCTCATTCACCCTTTCCTCGACCATCCCTTCATAATCCTCCTCCAGCTGCAGTCTCTCCCTCTCCCACTCCTCCTTTAGCTTTTTCTCCCTCTGCTCAAACTCCTGTTGTAACTGCAATCTCTCCTCAAGAATTCTTTCGAGCAGCATTTCTTTATGGTGCTCCTGAATCTGCGCTCGCTCTGTCTCCCACTGCTCTCTGAGCTTGCCGTCCTTCTCTTCTTGTTCCTTGACGAGTCTCAGCATCTCCTCCTCCAGCAACACCTGCAGAGACTCATTGTTCCGCTCATCCAGCTGAGCTCTCTCCTTCTCCCACCGCTCCGTGAATCTCTGCACAAACTCACCCTGCTGCTCCTCAGACCTCATCCTCACCTCCTCTAGTTTCTCCCTCAGTTCAACCTCATGGCTCAGCTGCAACTGTTCCTTCTGGCGTTCACACTCATCTAACAACCTCATCTCCAACTCAGCCTTTTCCTCCTGCACTTTCTTCATCTCCTCTTCCAGTCTGGCTTTAGAAAGTCCAACGTGCTCTTCCTCGAGTTTCTTAATCTCAGCAGCATGTTGTTTTTTCAGAACCTCGATCTGAGAGTGATGGTTTTCATCTGCCTCAGACTGTTCAGCTTCAAGGTTCTTCAGCTGCTCCTCCAGGTCAGCGGCGTAAGTGTGGGCCTCCAGCAGCTGTTGCCTGAGGTTTCCCACTTCCTCGTCTTGCAGCTTTTCAAGCTCTTCCCTCTCCTCGGCCTGCTTCCGCCCCAGGCAGCATCGCTCCAGCTCCACTTGCTCGAGCTGGCTCTGGAGCTCCTGTGCGTGGCACTGAACACTGGCCAGCTCTTCCCTCAAAGCCTGGACCTCCTGCTGGTACTGGAGAACTACGGTGACGTTCTGGTCCTCATGAGTGGATCTCTGCTTGTCTACCATCTTATCAAATTCATTGATCTGGAGAAATAACAAATGTAGATGAATTAAAGGAGTAGTTTAACATTTTGAGAATAACATTAAATTGCTTCCTCACAGATTTGGATTAAACATTCAACACCTCTGTTTTCTGTACAGTAAATATGAAGCTTTAGGCGACAGCCGGTTATCTCATCTTTGCATGAAGACTAGAATCAGTGGAAATGGTCACAAACTGTCTCCCAGTAGATGTTAAGCCAACTTCAGACTGGCTGTAACCTTATATATACTGTTAGTCTCATCAGAAAACATCAACAATAGCTTGAGGCGCCGGATTAATTGTTCATTTAATTTTATTTAATCTCAAACAGTGCTATATATAAAATGCTATATGCCTCAATTCACACTACTGATATTGCATCAATGTCTCTTAGTTAGTTTCTAATAATTGGAGATCTTCTAAATGTACCTTGCTTTCCAATTGGTTTTGCAGTTCCTCCATTTCCTGAAGGTGTTGCTCCTTCAGCTGCTCCATCATCATCTCTGCCTCCAGGCTCATGCTGAACGGCTGAACCTCCTCGGAACCGATGCCTGACAAAAAAGTTAAATGAGAAGTTTGTTGCTGTGACTTGTTTCAAGCAAAATATCAATGTTTCACAATGAAAAGTTGTTCGTGACATTGGTTCTCAAGGGATTCATTTTAAGTAAAGGTGGTGTAAGTGAACCTGGATCAGACTCCATGCCAGGACTTTTACTCTCCAGCTCTTCAGACAGGGGTTTGTTGCAGAGCTGGTGAACTCGACCAAGACTGTGGAACTCTTGCAACTCTGACTGGAGCTCGTCGATGCGATCCTGCAGCTCCTACAACAAAGAGAAACATGTTTTATTATTTGATGACTAAAATAATTCTATCACTACATACAGCACTGTATCTTTTTTTAACTTCTGACTAAAGCATTCACGTTTGTAAAGAAAATATCACCGTCACCACATGTGAAGAAGAAAATATTACCCTGCACTGAGCTTCATGGCCACTGCTGAGATGTCTAATACGCTCCTCTTGGAGGAAGAACTCCGCACTGCCAGGGTCTAAGTCTCCAAACTACAGAAAATGAAAAACAACAATACACAATAAGAAAATACAACACAGAAATAAAGACCTGTGCAAATAGGACAGAAAAAGACGAAGGCATGTTCCACCAAAAATTCTGTTTAATATTTAAAAACAGACCGACATCCAAAAAATGTGTGTACCTTTTCTTTCATTACGTTTTCCAAATTGGTCTGAAGCTTTGAAATATGACTTTGAGCCTCTACTAGTTTGTCTGTGCTGTCCAGCAGCTCCATCTCAAGACGCCTGTTTTCCTGGAAGATACAGATAACAACGTGACATTGGTTAGTAAACGCAAATCAATTCGTAAAGAGATAAGAGTATTTGATATAGTGGTCAATGGTACATTAAAAACATCACGAAAAATTCCCTGTGGTACCTTTACAGAAATGGAGAGGTGGTCTCGGAGAAAAGATTCATCATCCCTGATCTTCTCGATCTCTGCCTCCAGTTCCTCTCGCTGCAGGCCCGCCTGCTGCTGGATCTGGTCCACCTCCTTCATCAGCTCTGATCGCACTGCTGCGAGCTTCTCTTTTTGCTCCTGCTCAAGCTTCCTGCAAACATTGAGCCACAGAGGATCCACAATGTTTCAATATTGAAAAGTACAATAGTCAAGACAGAGACAAGAGGTGACATAACACATGATGAGACACAAATAGAGCAAAAATCACATTAACAAACAGATTCACACGTTCTCTATATTTTACATGAGTGTATAAGACCATGTTAAGACATTATATTTACCTGAGCTTGAGGTTATTCGCGTGCTCAATCGCAGAGTGATGCTCGTCCACCTCGGTGGCGAGCTGAGTTTTCAGCTTTTCTGCTTTTTCCAGGTCAGATCGGATTTTCTCTTTCTCTCTCAGTTCCCTGTCTACGCGCTCTCTGATAAGAGAAAACATGAATACTGAAAATAAACAACCCTACAAATCAAAATCATCTTGGAGATTTTATTTTTCTTGTTTTATTTCAGGATAATCAGCTGATTTATAATTATTCTGAATGTACGGTTACTCAAATATAAACAAAGAGCTGCACTGCAGTGATGACTCGTACTCACAGGAGATGTCTGATCTCAGCTTTGAAGCTCGCCAGAGCCGCTTGGTGAATCCCATTCTTAGTAACGAGCAGCTCGTTTTCAAGTGCCATGGTGAGATCTCCAAGACTCAGTTTGCCGTCCAGGTCGAAATTCAAAGCCTGGAAAAAGATAAACATGCATTTGTGGAAACTTTGTAAATAACTTTTACAAAGTTTACATACTAATGATAATAATTGGCTTCAACCATTAACTAGTGGTTATAATAATTAATTTAAATATATAAATGTACCTGCAGGATCTCAGTGCTGTTTTCAATGCCTTCATCTATCCAGGCATCCAGAATGTATTCAGCTGGAGTGAAACCTGTACCATCATCAAGGGTGGAGAAGAGACGCATGCCGATGGTGCTGGTCAAAACAGAGGAGGTGGCAATCCTGCGGCCTCCTTCATCAAACGGCTGCATGGAGGAAAAAAAGTAAATCTTAAAAAATTCCACTTAATCTTGCTTTCAATTATTGGATTACAGAGAAACTAGAGGGGGAAAATGATTTGGGTAACTTTTTCTCTTCTCTTTCATGAAGCAAAAACAAATAACCAACAAACCTTAATTAATTAACAAGGGAATTGCACTCACAGTAACCAGGTAGAACAGGGGGGGGCGTACCTGAGTGGAGTGATGTCTTTTCAGCTGTCTGTAGGGTGTGGAGGCAGATGGTGTGGGGGGTTTGTTGTGGTTTACCACCCTGGATACAAGCTCCTGAACGTTCATAACTCCACCGTCAGTTAGACGCTGAAGGAAATCCTCATTTACCTGAAAGATGACGGAAAGCTTTCATTACAGCAACGATATTTCTTTACACTGTTCATGTGTGTGTGAGGCCCAACATTTTTTTTTTTAGGACTTAAAATTGTCTGAGCAATGTAATCAACAGGAAACAAGGCAATTTGAAAATGTATGTCAAATATAATCACATACATTTATGGCCCTTTTGTTGCAAAGATGCAGTTTCCACTTTTGTGCCTGATGCATTAAATTGCAAATGCAGTGTGATCTTACAGTAACCCACACTGACTTCAAATCATTTAAATTGAGTATTACTGAGATTGAAATCTGCTCTGAGAGAAATGGCCTCTGCACTGAGTCTCTAACTAACCTCCAGGCCCAGATGTTCACAGACAGCGAGTAGCTCAGTGTGGTCGGCACATCCGTCCCAAGGTACGTCCAGCTCCTCACAGGCTTCACGCAGCCTCTCCTCCAAACAGGTCGGCAGAGGAACGACAGATCCCCGAGGTGTGCTTGGCTCATCGGGGTTCCAGAGGTGCATCTGGCCTGGATGCAAGAAAACAGACAGTGACTTTTTTATTTTTTTTCCCCACAGTATGAAGCAAATAAATAAAAATAAATCCGGCTTCTTTGACGTACCTTCTGCCTCATACTCCTCGGTGTTTGATTCCTGAGTATTCCAGCGCTGTAAGAGACAAAAAGAAATTCAATTAAAAAGATTCCACATCAATAGTATCAACACAAAAAGTTTCTCTGTGACAATTTCCATTTTTAAATTAGGCCACATTGAATCTGGGTGTGAGGGGGGGGGGGGGTGTCTCATTAAACAACACAGGAGCTTTTGTGATGGCATGAGGCCCAAGGGAGGGTCAGTGGGTAAATCAGGAATAATAGAAAAATTCATCATGGATAGAGACTTCATCTTTTCTCTCCTGTCAGACGCAGACATGACGAACATTTCTTAGTCAGACTTTTATGACTACATGCTCAGAAAAAAATTCTAATCTTATCACCTATAATTTTTGTCTTTTTTAACAACTGTAAACTGGTGCTGAAAAAAACTGAGATATAATAAAAGCATGATATTTAATGGGTTTTAGGGTTAAATTATTTTGTTGATCAAAAACTATTATATGAGAGGCTGATGCGGAACACACACACACACACACACACATATATATATATATATATATAAAGATTTAAAGTAAATTTTTGAATCAAAAAGTAAAATGAAAACATCTTTTAACTGAAAGTCCAAAAATAAGAAATATGAAAGGAGGAGGGGTTTTAATGGGGAGTGACCCACTATTCTCCAGCCCGGTCCCTGCGTGGACGTCTATTGTTTGGCAAGTAAACGGTGACGGAATGAAGAACAGATGGGATCCTGCAAGTGGCGTTTTGATGCATGGTGTATAGGCATCCGGGAGGGTGGGGGAAGTGGGGCTCATTGTTTCTCTTTCACAGCCAAACTCCCTCCTCCTCCCAGAGCGCCGGGCCTGTAGTCTCTGTGGCAGAGCACCCCTGACCCAGCCCCATCTGCTGGCCCCCGGGCTGGACATCGCAGCATTGTCCCGATCTAGATTAGTCAACACCAAGACACGCTTCACTTCAGGGTCTCAAATTGTGTTTGTCTTGGCGTTGGCAGGCCTCTGGGGTGGAGTCACAGACAACACATGGAATACTAACACATCCATCCACACACAAGCTGAACTGGCCGTCTTTGTAATGTTTTGTTGACCAGTCGTTTCTTTGTCGAGGTTTATTGTGCCTGCTGCAGCACATCCACGCTTGCACGTTCAACATTAGTATGAAAAATGGATCTGTTGTCTTCAACCTAACATTAAAGCCGTAGCAGTCAGTTATTCTTAATCTTACACATTTTTATTATTCAATAACTTTTTAAATAATGAATCATTTAGCGGTTTCTTAGAGACATGCGTGTGCATCCAACAGTTGAAAACTCAAAGGTAAAAAAGCAAATAGTCAATATTTCAGCAGCGGGAAGTAATAAATGCTGGCACTTCCTCTTATAAGTTATATAAACTACTGATAAATTAAATAAATAAACAACTTTAATTGTCAAACCCAAATGTGAATTGTTGAAGATCTTGCAGGTCATTGATGCTCAGACAAAGTGTGAGCTTAGGCCTCCTTACATATGTCAAACAACCCTCAGCAGTGAGAGCTGGATTATCCAAGAAAAGAATCCAGAAGATCAACCAGAGGAGCCACGCAGGGAGCTGAGCTGTTCATGGCCACGGTTGAACTAAGGCTATGTAACCGTCTCACTAAAACCCGAGACGACTTAGAGACACATTTAACGTCAGTTATAAATATGGGAGGACGCTTCACAGCAGCCACAGGGAATATTAACTATTAACACTTCGACATGAACCTGTCTCACTTTTTATCAGCTGAAGACGCTGATCTCGGACATGATGTGCAGTAAATTCCTGAATCACTGTGCTGTTGCCTTGTCTACCAGCAGATACACTGAGGGCAAAGTTCAACTTGACAGTGAACACTTGTCGACTCGCATAGAAACGCTTCATGAAACGTTAAACTGACAAAACTGCACGATGCTACACAAACACTGCGGATGCGTCTTAATTGCCTGAGGCTTACTGAACAGCAGTTATCCTCCCGGTGTTATCTACAGCCAGTGTTATCTACAGTCAGAACTATTTTATGCAATGACCAGAGCTCTGTGAATCCTGTGTTGGAGCGTCTACATTTCAGGATCTACCCTGCATACCGCTAAGCTGATTAGCTAAGAATAACGCCTTGCCACCAGGTCTTTGGCTGCAGAGAGACACAGAACATCCAAGGACGGGAGACGATAAGGATCCGAGTGTCTGGAGGTTCAGAACAGGAGCTGGAAAAAGACCTTTACCTCACGTTTCCTCGGAACGGCTGAGTCATAGTTGTCGTCCTGATCCTCTCCCTCCGCTGGGTTCGCATTGGTAACTTCAGATAAGTCTGAAATAGGCTCCACTAACTCGGGCGTGGAGCGGCGGCCGTAACGTTTACTGCCCTTCACAAACTTTGGTTGGATCTCTGGAGACTCTGAGGGGACAGAATGAGAATGAATTGAATATTAGATTGTATATACAGACAGACTTCATGGTTAAACACGTCACAGCATTCCAAATACTGAGGATAATTTCTCATGATAAATTATTTGAATGTTATGAGCAATAGTAACAGTGTTTGCTACAGTTCTTATGGCGCTGATGGAGATTTGCAAAATAAAAAATGTAAACTTTTAAAATACTTTCGAAGGCCTTTATAAGAAAACAAACTCAGTGCTTTAAAAACTTTAGCAAAACTTGCAGAGGTCTTGTTAGATACAGAGACAAATTTAACCACTTAGGGTTCAACATGTAGCCTCCAGCAGCTACTTCTCTAAAAGACGTTACTTCTCTAAAAGTGGTGACTAAAGAATCTTTTGAGCCAACATCACATTTGTGTTAGTGAAACAGAAAGTACAAGGTGATAGTTTCAGGTGCAAACTTCAGAGAACTTGGTTTCAATATGCTTCAGTGGAAGTGAGACACACAAACTGAAAGTCAATTATCAGTTACACGATCTCAGGATACACGTATCTTGCAGAAAACCTCTCAGCCTGATTAATATGAAACTTTGAAGCATAAATATTTTTTCCAAGACTCATGTTTACTATAAGCAGCTACCGCGATTAAAGGCCAGGCCGTGCCAATGGGGCAGCCATGACGGTGCAAACAGTTCAGCTGAGAGCTAATTGGCCTTGGGCCGACACTTTTGGCTCAGTGCCTCTGTATGTAGATATACAGCTGAATCAGCAGGATGCTGTTCTAGTTATTCAGCCAACAGCACTGACGACTTGGTGACTTGGTTTCTTTAAAGTTCATGATTAAACTTTACCTGGTTTCTGTAAAACGTCCTCTTCTGCTTGAGGCGGCTCGATGGCTGATGACAAAACCAGAATCAGTGCATTCTTGAATTGGTCAAAGTCAACCTGCAACAAGAAATAAAAAAAAATTAAAAAAAAGATAATGAATTGAAGTTCAAACAAAATGTGAAACTTCTTTGTGTAAAATGCAAACAATGCTGAGTATGTGAAGCCGAGTAAAAACAAAAAAATAAAAGCGAATGTTCATGAAATTCCTCAGACTGGGTGTAATTCCCTGTAAGGACGGAGGCCGGGTGTCCCTGGGTGTCTGGGTGGAGGAGGGACGTCACACTTCAAGAATCAACAGCTGCTAACCCTGAGTATGGTGATTTTCTTTGTGCGGTGGAGGCTGGAGGCTTTAGGTGGGGGTTCTTCTTTTTGACCTTATTGTTGGATGCCATTGGTAGGTAATCAGTTCACTGGCCCCTCTGCTAACATTTACCCCTCCCACACACGGTCTGCACTTGCCATACAATAGCCTTCCGTCTGTGCACACGCTTATAGACACAAAAAACTCGATGCAGGCGTGTGGAGGTGAATAGTTTGTAAGTTCTCATAAAATCTATGAGCTGGAGATTTGCTGAATGTATGTGTTTTATATAAACTGTGTTACGTGAAGTCCGTTTATACACATCCGACCAGTGTCCTCCCCATTTCATACATCTCCACATGGAGCACCCTCAAACAAATGCCGCAGAGATGGGGGTGATTATCTGGCTCTGTTGTCCTGACGACAGACACCTGGGATGAGGGCTGATGGGTGCACGTTCTCTCCTCAACAAGACGACTAACAAAGCACCAAAAAAAAAAGAAAGAAAAAAAGCCTGGAGACACAATGACATGAATTCTGGAGTGGCTTGACGCCGGCATCTGCCAAACTGAAAAAGACAGAGGACCCTACACACAGAAAGCCAGGAGGGCCCAGCTCACATGTACATCAGAGGAGGAACAATAATTCTCTTGTGAAAACAGCGATGCTGAGAAAATTCCACCCAACAGTTCCCTTCCACAACATGCAAGCAGTACAAAGACATGCAGTGACCGCTCGTTTCTACGGTTTATCACACTGACTCCTTTCAGGGGCAGAGGGGAAAAACTCACCCTGGCGGTGAGGCGGTCCTGGTTCTGCAGCAGCGCATGGAGAAGAGTCGGTGTGGCATCTTCCAGGTGCAGCGAGTGGCAGAGGTCAGAGAGCTCCTCTGGGGACAGGGAGCCGCAGCCGCTGGTGTCGAAACTGTTGAAAAGTTCTTTTAGCTGCTCCTCGTACTGGTCCTGCTCTTGGCCGTCATCCATCCCACAGGACAGCACCCTGCCCTGAAAGTAAAGAAAAACCTGCATTACATTTTAGCTGAGGTGTCCGTGCAGAGTGATGTACCAGAACATCATCGGCATTGAACTCCGCTGTTACACTGAATAAAACAAATGATAAAGTTAAAAATCTCTTCAGTCTGTGTTTAGAAGACAGACCATCAAACCACAGTTATAACTACTCACAGCAAGACAGGAGACATCGATCTCAACAGGTTGTTTTTCTGAAAGCACCTTCATCTGAGAGCGTTGCTGTGCGACTGAGCGGCCGACACGCAGCTCCAGCGTCATTTGTGGGCAAGACGCTGCTAATCCAATTATAATGATTAGACAATCGGGTAAATTGATAGACATGACCAAGTCTGACACCGACCACGACGCTCTCTGGACACTGAGCTGGGACAGAAATACTCCACCAGCAGGAATAGACCGAACCAGTCATGACAGGAAGCTGCAATATCTTTGTAGTTTGATGTGGTTTAAACATATTTCTGAATATTTTATTTCAATTATCAGCAAATTTGAATTTTTGACACCTAACATAATAAAAATCGTGAAGTTAAGTGATAAAAATTATACGTGGCAGGGAACCAAGTGGAACAAGCAGCAGGGGACTAATTCAGGAGGTTACACCAGAAACTTCTGCCAACTTTGATTGGCGACGACGTGTGGGATCAGTTACACACGGACAGAAAGTTTTTGTTCTTTGATTCTGGGACAAATCATTTCTGTAACCGAAAAACAATGAGAACCGCTCGACGGAGAGAGCAAAGCACAAACAGAAGACTGGAGCTCAGCTCGTTAGTTAAACGCAGAGGAAGCTTCAATTCTCTCAAGAAATTAAAGACACACAAACATTGAATCTTAATGATCTATCGGCTGATTGGTTATTTAAAGAGATGAAGGTGAGAAGTCCTCGTGGGTCAAACAGAAGAGTGACCACCTGATGCTTAAGAAACGTACAAGTCAGTTCACATGAGCTTTAGCAGAGCGCTAAAGTATTCAACTACTTCTATTTTTACTTTTAATACAAGTATCTTAAGCATCTTGTAAAAACATTTCTGCTCACTACACAAGAGTTGGAACTTCTGGCACCATTCCTCTTTTTACATGGTGTCGTTTTTTGCTTTCTTTCTAGATATTAGTGTTTATTGGACTTGAAATTCTTTCTTGCGTGCCTCTGTGGTACTTTTTTTAAAGCTTATTCCTGCATTTTGCATTTTTGCAAGTTTGAGTCTATCCAATTCAGGGAGCACCCGTCTGACCCCCCCAGCCTTTCCAGCTGCTCTCGGAGATCATCGAGCACTCGGCCAGGTGTCCCCCGCACCCCAGACTCGGGGTTCCCATTCACCGCAGACAATAGGCTGCTCACAAAACCCAAATCAGTATTCTGCATCTGCACATGTGAGTGGCTTATGAAACGCAAGGAAATCATGGCTCAGCAGAAAGAAATTGCGCAAAGTGTCAAGAAATAAAAAAAAACAATTCAGGAGAATTGCAACAGTTTGCTCCACCCTGAGCCATGTCAGGAATAATAAAGCTAAATAAAAGTTTATTTTGATGATTATCTCCTCAAACTTGTTTTCTGCACGCAGCCTCTGAGCCAATTATCCTGGCAGCCCTCCTGCTCGGCCCTGGTCAGTGGTCTCACAGCTGCCGAGGCCAAAGAATGATCCAGGTCACCACAGCGAGGTTAATCCTCACACTACCCCTGCATTCACTGGTGCTGATGTGACTGGTAGCAGATGTCAGATGTCATGAAGTAAATAATAAATATCCCATATTAAAATCGATAATTATTAACCCGCTGTTCTTGTTGATTATCAAAGTTTTCTCAAAATAGTATTTTACCATATTGCATTAGTTTTTCTTGCAAAGGGAGGAACATTAAAACTGCACAGAGTCCCTGATGAGATCCTTTATATCAAGCAGAACATCACGTTACATTAAGACCGCCATATACCTCATATACATCATATATCAAAGCAAATAATAAATAAGATAAACAGCATTAATAATGTACTGACCCACCTCATTTATCAAGTTATCATTGATTATGAGTTTTATTTATTTAACCTTTGATTGTCATTATAATCTGCTTTTAATGTGTGATTATGATGCCTCCCGAGAAGCATGTGCCAATGGAGATACTGACAATGCAAATATTTCAAGTGTAAGGTGAAGACACAAAGAGATGTATTTTAAAAAGTCATCATATCTTCAGCAGATATTAAAAATAATCTACATAAACCTGGTGCAGCACCGTGTTTTAGTTTAGAACAAACTATTTTAAAAGCCATGTGTGAGTTCAGCTAACACTCAAAAGATTTGCAACCAAGCTGAGTGAAGAGTGAAGTGTGGATGAAGAGCTCAGGAAAGACAAGAGTCAAAAACAACGAGGAAAAGTGTCAATAAATCAGATTGGACCTGGTTCTAAGTGATGAAGTTAGCATCCCTCATTTAAATCAGTCTCATAGGAAAGATATTTGATCCAGTGACTCACAGCTGCAGCTGAATAAAACAGTTATTAGCTGCACAATCACATTTAGATCGAGTTTATCTGGATGAACCAGTGTCCTCAGTGAAGTGTGGAGCTAAGCTAACGAAGCTAACCCAGCAGCAGCAGCAGCAGCAGCTGAGACTCAACGGTTCGTCTCGACTTGACTTCATCCCAGGATTGCGCCTTAAAATCGGCCTCAGGGGAACTTCGATCACCGGTTAGAATGTCTCGTAGAACCACTCACCAAAGTCTCCGGACCCGGGGCGACTCTCGGCTCCTTTTTTCCAGCGGAAATCTGCCGAGAAAACGCGGCCACGGAACAAACTTTTTTTTTTTCTTCCTTTTACACCCGCGTCTCTCGGAGCCTCCTCCCGCGTGAACTCGGCCTCTCCTCCCCGCGGAGAGATGGGAAGTCGCCGGTGGTGGTGGTGGTCGCTTGCGGAGGCTCGTTAGGTTGTCCGGAGAACGTGTCGTCTCCGCCGGGGCTGGTGTGTGTGCTTTGTGTCCGAGGCTGTGACATCCTCCTCTGGTGTGGAGCGGATTTTGAAAAGCGGCCGGAGGAGGAAGGGGCGGTGACCGGGAGCCTGAGTGGCCACAGCCCGGCCCCCCGCGGACCAAACCCCCGGAGACATGGAAGTACAACCCAGGCTGCTCCTGGAGGTCGTTTCAAGAAACAACTCAAGACCTGTTTCTGTTATATTGCTTTTTATTAACTTTATCATATCTCTAACACCGTTCTCCTTATTTTTTACTTCTTTTAACTTTAATATTTTAACTCCTGCACATTTTGAATTCCTCTGTATATATTTAAATCCCATGCAAATGTGTAATTTCTCTGTAAAAGTTTAATTTTGCTACAAATGTTTAATTTAATTTGATTTCTCTGCACACATTTAAATTTACATTCATCTCAGGCCAATTTCAACATATGCTTTTTGTGTTATAAGTCAATTCTAATGTATGTTACTGCCACTGGATGCTTGAATTTCCTTCAGGATCAATGAAGTATTTATCTATCTATCTATCTATCTATCTATCTATCTATCTATCTATCTATCTATCTATCTATCTATCTATCTATCTATCTATCTAATACCATTTCCCAGTTCCTTTGTTTTGTTGCTAACATGTTTTTTTTTAATCAATTTTATTGTAAAGCACTTTGAGCTGCATTTTATGTATGAAATGTGTTGTATAAATAAAATGTATTATTATTATTATATAAAGTTAAACTTAAGGAAACACTGTGCAATGTTTCACCTTAACATCATCCAGCTGAGATTTTAGTTTGATGGTACAACTGACTTGAAACAGGGAGAATGGTTTTAAGTTGTTAAAGTCTTTTTTTTTTTATCATATGTTAGTTGACACAGGATCAATGGTTCAGTGAATGGAGGAGAAAGACAGGTCAGGAGGTCAGCAACACAACAAGAGCGATGTCATGGAGGTTATAAATCAAGAAACGAGAGAGGAACATTAAAAAAAAGTGAATTTAGATAAAGCAAAAGAGTTTGATGTAAACAAAAAAGGCAAATACAATACTGTGTAAAATAAGACAGGACAAGTTAAGATAAGATAAGATTAGATTAAAAAAAGATAAGACAAGATAACATAACCTAAAAAGGAAGAGACAAGATGAGACTTTACTGATCCCATGTCAGGGAAATTCGCTTGATACAGCAGCAGATGAGATAGACAATAAAATAAAAATCTAATAAAAACAGAAGAATGAATAAAAATACGGAATATGTTCATATTATACACATTTGACTGTAAGGAAATATTGAAATTGATGTACTAATATGAATATGTATATGGATATAAATTCACTGATATGTTGAATATCAGTATATTGTATATAATCCCTTATTAGTCAAATGTAGGAAGAATGAGAGAAAAAATAAACCATAAAGAAACATGCAAAGAGCAATAATATAAAATATAAACAGGAAACATGCAAAGAGCAATGATATAAAATATAAACAGGAAACATGCAAAGAGCAATGATATAAAACATAAACAGGATTCCATGTCGTAAGTATAAATTAAAACATGCATGGATGTGTTACTAGATTGACTTTAAAAGAAAAAGTGATTTCTTGAACGTCCAGTGTAATGATGTTTAAAAAATAAATAAAACTCCAATACCCACAATGCTTTGCAGTGAACTATGGCACCAGTCAGCTGGGCGTGTTTTGTTTTTGTTTCTGACAGATGAACCGGCAGCAGCAGTTTGACCCGCTGGTTTGGGTTCATGTCTGGTTTGACCACATCTGGATCAGCTCAACATCGCGGGTCTGGATTTAAAAAAAAAAAAACCCAAAAATCATTTTTCCCTCCAGCATTTGTTTCCAGTTTTATCAGACGACACCACTTCCGCTTGTCTTCCTGTTCCATTCATTCTAGCAGAGGTGACCCAATAGCAGCAGAGGATTCCACCTGTCTCAGCTGAACGTTGACCCTCCTCTGTCTGGTGCTGTGAGGAGGACAGTGATCGTCCCTCAGGACACAGGGACTCAGTGTCTGGACCTTGTCTCCGCAGAGATGAAGAGAGCTCTGTGGTTCGTGATCACCGTCTATGTCTCAGTGCCTGTGGTTCTCTACCTGTTCCCCTGGATTCTGGGCCACATCATATTCGCTCACTTGTGTAAGTAATGTGCTTTCTCATTGTTAGAGCTCCACATGTCAGTGTTTGTGCGTTTTAAATTAAAGACACACACACAGCGTGTTGAATCTAAGCAACGCAACACACTGTGAAAAGGCCCATTGACCCATGAGTGAATCATAACATCCACAGTAGAAGTAATATTATGTATATATTACACTGGATTTCGAAAATTATTTCTAAATTAATCAAATGTATTTAAATAAATTAGATAAAATCCTAAAGAATTTTCTGGTTTCTCAGCTGATGTGTGACAAAGACTAAAAGCAGTGATTGACTTCAAAAAAAAAAACCGACTGCAGCAAAGAGTTGTTCTTCAGGTTCTGAAAACATTCATTACCTCAACCAACTTATAACCTCACACAATACAACATGATTTGATATGATACTGTGATACTATATAATAAGATACAATACGATGTGATACGAAACAATACAATACGATAGGATAGAGTACGAGATTATATGAATCAATAGAGTGCAATATACATATTATATATGATGGCGCTCAAAACAATAGAATAAGATACGATATCATACAATACAATGTGATAAGATACGACACAATATGTGATACGATACATATTGCGATACATAATGCGATACATGATGGTACGATAGAGTACAATATATAAAACGATACTGACCTTGTGTGCGATTGTGTGCCGCAGTGAGGTTTCCATTCTTCGCGGATCTCAGCCGACCTGAAGACGTTGTGAACCACACATGCAACTTCTACCTCGACACAGAGGAGGGGATCTCAGTGGGAGTATGGTGGGTCGTTTGTGGATTCCCTTTGTGTCCACTCGAGTGCGTCGGCTCTTGAGAATACCACAAACACGTGCATATTTTGGTACAGGTGGCTCCTCGGTGAATGGGACTGCAATCTACGCATTTGGCAGCACAGGACCACTTGAGAAGCTACTGTATATGTTGAAAGACAAGTGGGTTTGTCTGTGATGCTTAGTCTTTCTCTCTCCGCTCCCTCTCTATCCATGCGTCTCACAGGCATACACTCCCTGCCAGCCAATGGGACGAGGCCGCGGGGAAAAGCCCCGAGTGGCACCGGGAGACCCTGGGAGACGGCGATCCTGTTATTATCTATCTCCACGGAAACGCAGGGACCAGGTGGGATGAGAGTGGCGGGGTAGAAACCCTTGAATTGATCCTAATAGAGTCTAGTGGGTATTACACGAGCCCCTGGTTCACCCACAGGCACAATGCACACGAGGCTTTGTAGGTCAGAGTCTGAAAGCCAGTTGTTTGTTTGTACTCATTACTCTCTCATGTGATCTGTGCAGGGCGATGAATCACAGAGTAGCCATGGTGAAGGTAAGGTTTTTGATTTTACAACTCATTTTCAGTTTTGACATTAAAGCTTCAAGATCCAATTTTGATTTTGATTTTTGCAGATCTTAAGTGAAGCAGGGTATCACGTCTTATCTTTAGACTACAGGGGTAAGATGCTTATTGTTGTACACTTAAATCCACTATTTTATAACATGCAGTAATGCTTGTAATAAATGTTCACGTGTTGCTTATAAATGCTGAATAGAGGAACTTAAAATAATTTTACCTGTAAAGCAAATGTCAGCATAACACATCAGATGTGTTGCATGATGTTATTATAGTTGTCTGGATGCTATCACAGCTTTGAGGCTGTAACTTGTGTGTCCCTGAGGTTATGGAGACTCCAGTGGGGAGCCAAGTGAAGCCGGACTGACCCACGACGCCCTCTACCTGTACCAGTGGGTAAAGACGCAGAACAGAGGGAGTCTCGTCTGCATATGGGGACACTCGCTCGGCTCCGGGTCGGTTTCACACATTCTCACCTTTGTTCATGAAGCTAAAACTTGAGCCTGACATTTGATCTTTAAAACACATTTCTTTTCTTGTTGTAGTGTGGCAACTAATGCTGCGGTGAAACTACAAGAGCAAGGTGAGTCTTTAAAGGCCCTGCACGATCACAGTATTGTAATAACTTATTATGGCAGATTACACTTCTTCTAAGGGCTTTGTTAAAGACTGTGTTTGATTGGCATCCCTCTCTTCTTATTATCCCGCTGTCAAGTGATAAGTTTCACTGGCAGCATTGTGAAATGTCACAGCAGGAAAATTACACTTTTGATGACTGAATTCTATTTGCAGCTGCTTAATTTGAGGGTCATGCTATTTTTCGTTCTGCGCTAAATCTAAAATAGAAGCTAACATTTTTTTAGGTGCTGTATCTTATTAACCAACCAATCAAATTTCATGTGTATAGCCCATATTAACAATTTGCCTCATCGGGAAAAACAATGTGCAACATCCTTAATCCTCAACAAGAGTGAGGAAGAAACACAAACAGAGGGCATCAACAAACTTACATATACATCCATGAGAAAGGACAGCATCTCACATAAATGGGGAGGGTTATCAGTATGAAGTATTGTAGCCTTTCTTTTAACATGAAATAATTAAGTGTGTTGATTTCTTGTTTTATAAATAGTATACGACAGTATAAATACATGAGAAATACATATAATACTGTGTACTGAATAAAATGGATCTGGGACACACTCTTAATGAGGCCTGGAGTAGTAAATAATTTGCCCACTCAATCTGAGTACAATCACACAGAATAAGCAGAGGTGACTATACGTTTTTTTGTCTGTAATTTTAGGTTCTGCTGTTGATGCTTTAATCCTTGAGGGTCCATTCACAAGCATCGGAGAGGTCGTACTCACTCATCCGGCCGCTAAGGTAATGTTACACTTAACCTTTAACCTCAATCTCTCTTCTGCAAGTGTCTGTAGGTTCACAATTAATGTTTTTTTCTCTTCCAGCTGTACATGTTCCTCCCAGGGTTTGAGAGCTTGCTTTGGAACATACTTGAAACTAACGAAATAGTGTTTGCAAATGACGAAAAGTAAGTGTGATTAAAAACAAACTTTAACTTTACAAATGTCTTCTTAACATGGTATAATAACATGTTTGTATTATAGCATCTGTGGTACAGGTTTGTTTAACATGTGTAATTAATTTATCCTCCGTCTCTACACAGTTTAAAGGTCTTGACCAGTCCTCTTCTTATTCTGCACTCAGAGGACGACAATATTGTACCTTATCACATGGGTCTGAAGGTGCGGTGGGTCTCTCATCTCTCTGAGATCATCTCCCACTGGAGGTTGTTGCTGCCTCTTTGCTGAACTACTGCACATTTTCTTCTTCTGTCTGCAGCTGCACCAGATCTCACTCCAGACTCAGAAAGAACACAACACAGATGTTCAGGTTGAGATGATCTCCTACAGCGCAAACCTCGGATTCTCCCACAGCCGCATCTACTTAGATCCTAATCTGTCCAATGTGGTTAGGTAGGTTTTAAAATTGATATCACTACATACAAAAATCATTTAAGACAAAAGTTTGTACATATAATTTCCGTCTGTGCTGTACGCCGAATTAATTACCTTCACCAGGGAGGTTGTGTTTTCATCGCCGACTGTTTGTAACCAAGGTCGCAAAATGTTTTTCAACATTATTCTTGTGATTTGGTGCAGATCCATGTAAATATCCAGATCTAGTGAATTGAAATATGGATTTGTAAAGGGACTGAGGGGCCGTATGTGCTCTCCTGAGTCATTGTTATGTGTTTACTGTTTTAACGTATTATTCCATCTGCTTGTGTTGCAGGGGATTTCTACAGAGGCTGAGAAAGTAGTGCGGCTCAAGAGAGAAGTGCGTTTTTTTTTTGTCGTTTTGTTGCTTCTGTACATCTTTTTTTGCGAAAAGTGGGAAAAACTTGGAATGAAATTGAAATAAAAGCACTTGATGGGACATCACACAGAAAGTTTTTATTTCAACACTGTTGATCACAAATGACGTAGGTTTGTGTCTTAATCTTAAGTTATACCGATAGACAAATAAATCTAATAATTCTTTTTCAGTCCGTCTGGAGTACATTCAGCATAAACGTCTAGGAATGTGAATAAAAATTCAGGTCAGTCAACTGTTCGGTGACTGACCTCCTGCTAAATTCCTGAAGTGCAGGAACCCCCGCACGTCCTGTGCACCAGGAATTTTAAACATGATATTCACTGCAGCTCCACACTGACTGCGTGTGCTGAAGGACTGTAACAGATGAGCCTCAATGCAAGTGCGTGGAATCAAGTGCTTTGACAATGTGTTCGCAAAAGAAATCTGTATGTGCAGAGGTGATTTCTGAAACAGGCTCTTAAAGAGTTCAGTGACGTGTGACAGGAAGGTGAAAAGCACAGAAGAACAGTTTGTAAACATTACAGCTGCCGTTCTGTTCTGGACACAGCTTCACATTTTCTTCAGAGCTCTGGCCGTTTCCTCGATGGCCTCCCGCGGCTCGTTTGGCGGCGGGATTTTCAGGTCGGTCGGCTCGACGCCCCACACCTCAGTCGCGTACTCCGTGATGGTTCTGTCGCTGGAGAACTTTCCAGTGGCTGCGATGTTCTTGATCACCATCTTCGTCCACGCCTTCGGATTCTTTTAGAGAAAAATAAAACCTTTTATCACAATTTTTTAAATTCATGGTCGCTCCTGTAACGGACAGTGGTTCCTATCAAAGTAAGGGGAAGAGACAAGACAACAAAAGAAGAGGAATGTCTTGATCCACGTCCGTCTGAGGCGAATGTTACCTGATAGAGTTGGCTGACTTTCTCTTGACATTTCATATAGTCGTCAAAGTCTGCAAACACTTTGAAACTGGAGAGAGAGGGAGAATAAAGCTGTCAAACCTGACACCATGAATTCAAACCCCCCCCAAAAAATATGCAGAATCAGAGCATCCATCATGTGAGGATCAAAATCTACCGCAAGACAGCAGTGTTGCTCACCGGTCATGTTTGAAGAGCATGTTAGTGAGGTCTTTGAAGAGCTCTGGATTCTGGGGGCAGAAGAATCCTCCTGTGATCTGGTCCATCACTTGTTTCAGCTCAGGGTTCTTCTTGTAGTACTTCATGGCGTCATAGCTGACAAAAGGACAAATGACTTTATTGTCATCCAGCTCAGGAATATAATTTAAAGCAGGTATAAAAGTAAAGTAAAAAAAACATATAAATAGAAGTATAAGAATAAATAGTAGTATTGTACAATTAGGATACTGCACAAAACTGAATTAAATGACACATATTGAATAAACAGATAAATAAGATGTAAACAGATATGAGAATTATTGAAATAATATACAAACACTTAAATTGAAATAATATGCAAACACTTATATTAAAATAATATGCAAACACTTATATGCATATGCAAATAAGACATGGTGTATTGTGTATTGCACACATTGTTCCTGGTTAAAAGAAAGTGAAGTCTCTATAGCAGCACAGTACAGGGACATTAGATGTGAGTGAAGCTTTAACATCTGAAAAAAAGAAGCCTTTACCCCTCTTTGTCCAGCGCAGCCACGTCCTCCACCCTCATGCCGAAGATGAACAGGTTCTCCTCTCCGGCCTCCTCGGCCATCTCCACGTTGGCTCCGTCCATGGTGCCGATGGTCAGAGCTCCGTTCAGCATGAACTTCATGTTCCCTGTTCCTGAGGCCTCGGTGCCAGCAGTGGAGATTTGCTGGGACAGATCTGTGGCAGGTATCACTGAGAAAAAACACAGAGCGTCATGAGAATTTAACAGGGAAATATAGGTAAATTAATTCCGGTAAATAATCCTTTAGACTAGAAAGGAAATAAACTTTTCGTCTGTGATTGTTTGATTATTAGCAGCATTACGCAAAAACTACTCGTTTCCATGAAATTATGTTTTTTGTCTATTACCATTTTGAGATTCGAGAGTAGATTTTTCCAAATAATGCATTTTTGTTTTGGACACCATTAAAAAAATCGCGCTGATGTTAAATTGAGTCTTCAGTGTCGTACCTTTCTCTGCAAGCGACACCCTGTAGTTCTCCAGGAAGATGACCTTCAGATTGTTTCCCACCAGGGGGTCGTTGTTCACCACATTAGCCACTGAGGTGATCAGCTTGATGATCATTTTTGCCATGTGATACCCTGGAGCCGCCTGTAGAGAGCGACAGTGGGTGACTTACTGTTAGGACATTCTACTCTTTGTCTTTCCTCGATGATTCATCTACATTGTTTGATATGTTTGATTTGGCAGAGCTGGTACCTTTCCACCGATGATCACCGTTCGTGGTACGAAAGGAGCTTTGGGGTTTTTCCTGATGCCTTAGAAACAAAACACAGGAAACATGCTCATTATGGGAGATGCAGTTTCAACAAAAAACAAAAAACTACACCTGAACTCACGTCTCTGAAGTTAGGAGGTCAGTTTTAATATAAAACGCAACATGTTTTCCACATAGACCTTATATAAAGATGTATTTTTCTCAAAGATGGCTCCAAATACACAAGATGGCAGCGTTCATATCTGAGATATCTTGGCTTCATTTCTGGATAGTGGGACTAAGCTGAAACGCATCGTACATCTTAATTTACTATTTCTATGGATTCTTATGATCTTTATAAAACACTTTCCTCATGGAGTTCTGGTGGATCATCATTAGATACAATACAAATGCTCTATATGTCACATTAGTTTGAAATAAACCCGTGAAAAGAAACTTCAGATGCAAACAAAGCCGTCATTAAGGTAAACTGCTGATCAGGTTTTTCTCAGCCTGATGACTTCATGGAAAATTCCCTACACTTGATTGACGTTGCAGATGCAACACGTCAGACTGTGTCATGTAACTCATCACTTCATCAGACCCATGATGAGTTCACTTACGGTTGTACATGGCGATGATGTGCAGGCAGTTGAGGACCTGACGCTTGTACTCGTGGATTCTCTTCACGTGGACGTCGAACATGGAGGACGGGTTTATATTCACCCTGTACTCGTTCTCCAGGTACTGAGCGAATTTCACCTTGTTGTCCTGTGAGAACATGAGAAATGCGTGACTAAGGGGGCCACTCACTGAGGTAGAAGTTGCTGGATCAGAGGTGCAGCACGGGAAGCATTGAATATGATCATGCAAAGAACAAATGAATAAGACTGTCATGTCTCTGCCTGCTCTGACATGCAAAATATGTACGCGTCAGAGGATTTCGCAACTCGCTGGTTGAGGGTGCAACAGGACATTTAGAACAAACTATGCAACATCGAGCAGTCATAGTGTCGTGAAGTAATAACAGCTGCCTGTGTAGAGAACAAATACATATATTCTGGAACAATAGAGGTTGGAGCACAAAGTACTTTGCCAGTAAAGTAATTGCAAAACATTAGATTAGCAGTATAAGTATTGCATTCATATATTTAACTTAAACTATAAAAGTATTATCAAGATTTTATTTGTATATCCTGTTTTCACAAATCTCCCTCTCTTGGGATGGACAGAAGTGCAAAAGATGGAACAGAATCAGAAAAGAGTTAAAGCGGCTTAAAAATACATATTCTGCAGAAAATGAACCTTAAGCTTTCGTATATATTTAGGTAGTTTAGTCCAGTGGTCCCCAAACTAGGAGTTGGATTCCCTTTAGTGTTTTAATTTCTTGTATTCATCTCAAATCTTTGCTGTTTTGTTTTGTTTTATTTAAATGTGACCTTTAACATTTGTTCAAATGAGATCATCTCAGAAGTTTAGAAGAATTACACTCTTTGGTGAAACTGCTAACAACTCATTGAGATCTCAAATTAAGCAGTGGGGCTCAAAAGCACACAGGTTGGGAACTTCTGGTTACATGTGTTGAATTTCATACACTTATAATTTTTCTGTCAGGTAAATTTAAAATGTACTTAATTATCTGCTCTGGACTCGAACCTGTTTAACTTTGCAGACGTCGCGGATGAAGGCAGCATCGTCGACAAAGTCATTGAGCCTCTGCAGCTGACTGAGCTCCTTCACATAATCCTCCCCGATGACCTGAAACAGACAGTGTGCAAAACAAACTGCTCAACAACTCTCATATATAATTCACACCACAGGCTGTAAAAGAGACAGGAGACGAAGCTCATCTATTTGCAGCTGTGGCAGTTTAAACAAACCTCAGCGATGAGCTCGGCCAGTCCGGGGTTGCAGAGCAGCAGCCAGCGTCTCGGAGTGATGCCGTTGGTTTTGTTCTGAAACTTTTCGGGCTCCAGTTCATGGAAATCACGAAATCTGCAGAAAATGAGAAAAGTTGTCAAGGAATCAACAAAATGACAGAAACACTGATATCGTTCATACATTAAGAGGATCAGGTGGTGAAATGAGAACAGGATGTGTTAAGTTATGAAACTGCATGTGATCTGCAGAAAACCTACACTTCTGTTTTGATGATGTTGGAGTGAATCTCAGCGACTCCGTTGACAGCGTGAGAGCCCACGATGCACAGGTGAGCCATGTTCACCCTCTTGCAGCCGTCTTCCTCAATCAGAGACATCTTCCTCACTTTTTCAATGTCTTTTGGAAACAGAGTTACGATTCTCTGCAGACGCAAAGAGAAGACTTCAGGCGTTTCATACATAATTGACGAGGTTGGTGGATAGCAGGCCTGTTATCTTCGTTTTCATCAGTTTATGATTACATGTAGTTTCACGGTTACAAAGAAAACATTTAAAGATGAGGAAATGGAGGCTGACAGCTGGATGAATGTAAGAGGTCACATCTGCTTTATGTGGTGTCAGAATCCATCTTCCTCCTCTTCGACTTTTAAAAATAAAAACACATTTTGCTTTTTAATTAATCTAGGACTACAACCACAAATAGGATTTCTGTCTATGAGGGACAGTACACACGTCGAGGTGGGCCTGGTTGATCTGGTAGATGATCTGCAGGTGTCTGGGCAGCAGCGTCTCCAGCAGATGTA